TGGGCGGGGTCGGGCCGCGACCGGCGCGCGAGGCCCGGCGTGACCCGGTGGCGCCCCAAGGTGACTCGAGTGACCTTCGCGACGGTCCGGCACCCGACGGGGGCTGGCAGGTCTGTCGGCCTAACGTGGCTCTCTCAGACGACTCCCGCCCGCAGGCCCGGCTCTGTCAGTAAAGGCTCTCTCCTCTATGTAGGCCCGATGTATTTGTCGTGATGTATTTGTATTGTACTTGCCCTTGTACCTCACAGAGTCAGTTAGGTTGGTAAAGACCTCAGATCATGAAGCCTAACCTAACGCCACCGTTTAAACTAGACTGTGGCACGAAGTGCCACGTCCAGTCTGAAACACGTCCAGGAATGGTTGCTTCACCACCTCCCTGAGCGGTCCATTCCAAAGTCTAATCACTTTTTGTCTAAAAAAATTCCTCGCCTATTTCCCCCTAAACGTTCCATGGTACAGCTCGAGGTTGTGTTCTCTTGACACTAGTTGCCTGTGAAAAGAGGCTGGTCCCTACCTTGGTACAGTCTCCCTTGCTGTTGCAGACGAATTGCTTGCAGTTGTCTGTTCGTGTTTTGGCAAGTCCTGATTTCTGAGAAACTTGAAGCAATTTTAAGCTTTTTCCTTAATACCAACAATGGGCATTCAGAATTAACAATTTTGTTTTATAGTAGAAGCAGCTTTCAGCCTAGCTGCAGCATAGACCTGCCAAGGCAAGTGATCAGTATTTGTATTTTTATTTGCAGGTGCAACATGCGAGTAAACAGATTGCTGCTGATAAGCAGTACAAGGGTATCATCGATTGTGTAGTGCGTATTCCAAAGGAACAAGGAGTTCTGTCTTTCTGGAGAGGAAACTTGGCAAATGTCATCAGATACTTCCCAACTCAAGCTCTTAATTTTGCCTTCAAGGATAAGTATAAGCAGGTGTTTTTGGGAGGTGTAGACAAGCACACTCAGTTCTGGAGGTATTTTGCTGGTAACCTGGCATCTGGTGGTGCAGCTGGAGCCACTTCCCTCTGCTTTGTCTACCCCTTGGATTTTGCAAGAACCCGTTTGGCTGCTGATGTTGGAAAAGCTGGCGCAGACAGAGAATTCTCTGGTCTCGGGGACTGCCTAGTCAAAATCACCAAGTCTGATGGTGTGCGTGGCTTGTACCAAGGGTTCAATGTCTCTGTCCAAGGCATCATCATCTATAGAGCTGCCTACTTTGGGATCTATGATACAGCAAAAGGTAATATTTCAGAGGGGATCTGAAAAACTTGTTTCTAGAATTGTATTGTCTGGTTTTGGATATAAGAAGGTGAAGGGGAATATCAGTGTCATGCATGTGGCAAATATACAAGGAAAACCTTGTGCATGCATTGATGGCAAGAGCCTACTAATTACTGGTTTTATACTTTTAAGTAGTGGCTCCTTAGGTCAGGAAAGTATGTTCATGACCAGACACAATTAGAATAATTTTGTTCAGTGAATGCTTGAAGTTACACTGGACCAGTGTGTTTAAACAAGTGTGTTTAGCAGAATGGGATTGAGCAGTGCTTTTGCAAAGTAATTTTTAAGCTTGACATTTGGGCAAATAAACCATTGATGCTAGTTTGTAGTTTAATGTTATCCACAGGGACAGTGACTTAATTTAGTGATGTTTCTTTACTAAAATGTAGTGAATAGTCTAGTCTTCTCATGCCAGTCTAAAAAGAATGCTCATGCCTAAATGATAATCTGTTTTGTTTCCTGAGTCTTCGCAATATGGCTTTAGTATGTTTCAGGTTTGTGAAGTGTTTTGCTGCAATTTTATTGAGAGTATGGGTCTACAGTGTTTCATACTACTTTATCCAGTAAAATAGCTGTCATGCAATGAGTGAACCAGAGGAGTATGTGCAAGGTAAAAAGCTAATTGCCTTTTTTGTTTTACTACAGGCATGCTCCCAGATCCCAGAAATACTCACATTGTTATCAGCTGGATGATTGCCCAGACAGTGACTGCTGTGGCTGGTGTGGTGTCCTATCCTTTTGATACAGTGCGGCGTAGAATGATGATGCAGTCAGGACGCAAAGGAGGTAGGCTGTAAATCCACAGAGCTGCTTATGCTGTTAAAACAGCATTAATAAGATGGAGTTCTTTTTTACTAATAGCCATCCTCAAGAGTTACAGTTCACTGTTCCGTAAATCTGGTTTATTATAATGTACTCAAATGAGGAACTGCAGTAAGGCTCAACTTGAGATTGTCAGGATTTATGCTGAGGGCTTTTCATTATGAAACATGAAGTTAAAAAAAATTGACTGCCTGTTTGCATTGTTAGATTAAACAGAGGTATTAAAAAGGTACATTTAATATAATATTTTTAGTAAGTATTATGTTACAGTTTTAAATTCAGGTTTGGGAGATCACAAAGCAGTTAAGTGAAACAAGGCAGTTGTTAAAATTATCTGAGATAAAATAAGAATTAATAACTCTTTGCTCTTTTTCTGCAGCTGATATCATGTACTCTGGAACAATTGACTGCTGGAGGAAGATTGCAAGGGATGAAGGAGGAAAGGCCTTCTTCAAGGGTGCATGGTCTAACGTTCTCAGAGGCATGGGGGGTGCTTTCGTGCTTGTGCTGTACGATGAATTCAAGAAAGTAATTTAAACAGCCTAAATAGAATTGGAAATCAAGTTGAGCAGATCATGTAGAATAACTACCATTATGGACCATTGACCTTCAAGAAATTCCTGTGAGTCTTATTTATCGGAGCCAGATGATACTTCTAGATGGGGCTAGAAACTGACATAGAGGACTGATCCACTTCTCTGTAACATGCATGAAGACACTGAATCGGGCAATTCAGTGCAGCAATTTTTCTTTACAGCAGTAAGGAATGAGTGGCGTTGGTTCTGGGTCCAAAGTTGTTAGGTCCAGTTTAGGCAGAAAAAAGTCATTTTTTTCCTGTGGATCAGTCTCCGGTTTCAAGTCCTATCTTCTAGGACCATAAAATTGTATTTGAAAGCATTTGCTAACAAATCATGTTCTTTTCCACTTGTACTGAAGCACTATGTACCATTTTGCACAGCTGAACATCTAGCAACTTTGTTCTTAAATTGGGGCATTCTGCTGTAAAACAATAAACATACTTACTCGGTCTGTGTTGAAATTATTACATAAAAGCTTTGGGAAAGCCTCTTGTATTTGAAAATTTGTTTCAGATAATGGGTCCTCTGATACCCTTACACTGCATTCTGTAACAAAATATGCTTTTTAAAAAGTAATTAAATGTGAGATCTTTAGAGAGGAGGGGTGGGGAAAGCATGGGTTATATTAATAGAAACCACCCCCATTCTTTGTGCCTGGTAGTGTATGATGGGCTGCTGCAAGTGGCTTTTTGCATGATTCTTAGAAATTGATTTACAACTTCTATGACTTAAAACTGGGGGAGAGTTCAGTTGTAGTACTAGGAAAACCCAAAGTACCAAGGACTGTTAAAAACTAATGCTCTTGCCCTTGGTAAAAGAGCCTAAATTTTTTTTTTTGTTAAACTGTTATGGAAAGCATCATGGTATTCATGCAAAAACCCAGTAACCCAGTAAATGCCTTCAACTTCTGAGTGACCTATGTATTGTATTGTTACTGCTGGTTGGAGGTGTTGATTGTGCCATTCAAGGTACGGTTTGGCCTCATCTGTAGCAGTGGAAGGTTGAATTTAATCTGAAATGAGTTGCAGTCTAATAGGTGAAGTTGAAGGGGTGTGGGGAGGGAATGTGTGTGCTTCTGTGTAGCTGTAAAATAATTGATCAAAGTAGGTCAGCCTTCAGTATTAACTGACTGATGTTTAGAGATGGTCAGAAGACTAGATCGAGTAATTTCTCATAACTGCTCTTTGAGATAATGTAATACCCATGTGCTGTTCTTCATATGTATATAATCTTTTGTATTTTGTAATCTGCAAAGACACAGTAGAGGGACCAGTAGAGGAAAACAAGGTGTTAATCATAATGTTTTAAGAACTCCCCCTATATCTTGAGAAATGAAAACTATCATTGTATGACTCATTGAAGGCTGACTGAGCTGTCTTGAGTTCTTCTGTGTGCCTTCTGAGATTGCGATTCAAGATGAAATATTTAAATTACATTGCTTGGCTTTGGCTGGTTATTACCTTCCTCTCGAGCGTACTTTTCCTTTTTCCTTTCACTGTTGCACAAGCACCACTTTCAGCATCTGTATGTGAATGTAAGGACATTACACAGCTGCTTTGTACACATGCTAGTGGTAAACTTCATGTTCCTACTGCAAGTGGTTCTTAAATCCTGTGTGGCAGTGGCAGCTCCCTGTGGTGCAGGCAGGTCATTTGGTGTTAACCCTGCCAATCAATTTGCTGGGGAGCAGGGGAAGACATTTTGTCTATATAAACATATTAATCAGGTTTCTTTCTGTATCAGTGCCTTGCGAGGGTAGAGATAATGATGGGATACCTCCCTGTGAGTGTACGGTGGCCCAAGCTTTGTGAGGGAAACCAAATGTGGTAGTTAATTCAGCAACTTGACAGGGACAGGACTTTTACACCCAGTCTCCCCTTCTGAACAAGGTTTAACCAAAAGAAATGGGACAAGAAACAAATGCAAGTGTAGGTGTTTAAGTGGAACTGCAATTTCCCTAAGCTGTACATTCCATATGAACTAATTTGTGGTGTTCAGATTATTTTTTTTTAATATATGGCTTCCCTTAGTCATGCAGCAGCAATTTCCAATGTGTGATGCAGTTTAGGGATGTAAGAGGCAAACAATAAATAAGACTTTTAAAAAAAAATGCATTTGTTCTTTGTCTTATTGAAACACTCTGAAATTCATTAATTTTGAAAATTATGAACAGGAAAACATCCAGCATTTTTAAAAGAAAATACTGGCATCTAAAGCCTATATTATTTTTAAAGGCATTGGAAATAACATTTGCACCCTTTGAAGGGAGAAAGGGAGAAACTAAAAAGTCATTTGTGAGGAAATTGTACATTTAAAATCTAGCTATTAAATGCTAGATTTTATTTAATTTCTCACAACTGTTATATTGTTTTGAAGACTTTAGATGCTATTTGTGTGAATTAAGTACACACTAAAACTGTACAGGATCACAGTGTTGCAGAGGTCTATTTACAGTGGCAGTACTGAGCTCATGAGATGGCTGACTGACAGACCAGTATTGATAGTTAACAATTAACAAGTATGATTTTATTTTTCACTTTTGTCTCGCATAAGGTTAATTGCATTTATTGGGATAGTTTGGTGTACTGGTTGGAAGAGCAAAGAGAAAATTTAAATCCTAAGAAGCTGGTTTGTGCTCTAGAAAATAACTGCATATAAAAATTACAGTAAAATTGCTGTGGCATTATGCAGCAAGCCTGTCAGCGTACAGGAAATCACTATTAACGAGAGGAAAGAAGCTTCATAGCAATGATGACCAGAGACAACAGCTTTATTCTGGATAAGAGGGTTTGTTTCACATTGTGAAGAACCTCTTAGAAAGGTTTAAGCACTTCTTCAAAGCAGGTCCTTGCAGAAAAGCTTTGTTACCAGGCATTGCAGGTTTGAACAAAGGGAAAAGAACAAATTTCACTGATTTTTATCCTATTTTTTTCAGCTCCATTTTAAGTGGATTTAAGGGGACAAACAGTTTTACAGGTGATTATATTTTATAGGTTGGTTTGAAGTACTTGTCAGCAGGATCCATAATTTTCTTTCATGTTGGGGAGTCAGGTGTGTTTTTGGAAAGTTGGATCATCCTTCCACTGTAGTTACTTCCTCAGTATGACTTTTTGTTGGTAAATTTACATATTCTGTCTAAAGAGAAAGAAAATTTGGTACCATGCAGTAAGCTACAAATTGCTGTTGGTATCATTCTGAACATTATTAGTTTCAGCAGTATCTAAGGCATCCTTTCTTGGTCTTTCAGTACTTAATAAGTGATTGCAAGGCAGGAGAAAACAGTTTTAAGGATAGTTAAAGAATGCTTCAGTGGGTCTGATCAGTACTAGCTGTCAGCAGGAGAAAGAGCAGAAGCTGATTTGGACACTGGACACCCTTAGCTGAGACAACAGAAGGAATTCATTCAGTCAGTATTACCTTAATTTTCCATATTGTCTAGACACGTAGATAAAATATTTTGGTTGGTATTGCACATTTTAACATTGGCTAACCTGGAGTTCCAGGAGAGAGCATGCTGCTAGGTAAGATTGTCGTACTCAGAGAGCACCTGGAGTTTAAAGTTTTGAGGGAAGATAAATAATTTAAGAAAAAAAAACCCCAACAATAGTACAGGTAGGGGAAAAAGGTTAAAAAAGCAAGCTTGCTGTCATACTGAGGGTATATTGCAGAGCATCAAACCAGGGTGTCCTGTGGGCTTTTTTCCTAGGAAAGCTGAAGAATGGGTAAAGCACTGCAGGGCTTTGTGGTCATGGTGTTTTGGGCTACTTTACTGTTCTCCAAGGAAAACGCACAACGAGTGTGTCCTGCAAGTTCTTGGGGTATATTTAACTCCAGGCAAGAGGTGATGAAACTCAGTAATGGTGAGGAAAGCATATGGGGAGAGAATGCCTAACTAGAAAGTCAATTGTCTGTAGTAAGATAAGTAAGAAAATGGATTAGAGGAGTGCAAGTTGTCTGATGCACTGAATGATTTGGTTGGTGGGATCATAAAGCAAATAAAATTGGCAGTTCTTTAATATGAGTGTTTTAAGGATGCAGTGCAGAAAGTTAGGTTTTTTAAATCATGAGCTTTTTCAGCAATATAAGGAAAAGTATTGTGTAAGGAGAAAAGAATGAGAAAATGTGAAAGGCCATTGTGTAAATAGAGGCAAAATGAGGAAATGCAAGCTTTTAAAAGACGTGATTAGCAAAGGATATTTCAGGTTTCAAAATAGCTCAAAAATACGTTAACACTAAATGTCAGGGAAAATGTTTGGTATTCAGTGGAGGAGAGCTTTTGAAAATGTGCTTTTTGTACTTTATTATTATTTTAATAACTTGGAAGAATTCCAAGCATTCAATCAGTGTTAAAGGTACTGAGTTTGGAGAGAAGAGGCAAAATAAAATTCGGTTTTTAGAGTTGATCAAACTGTTTAAACATTTCAGAATCATATGAATTATCTTCACAGCAGCAGTTGGGAAGTGTGAGTTCACATGAGGGCTTCACTTAACTCTGGCAACTGCTGCTGCTACATTGCTCCCTGCATGGAAGTGCGACACTGGCAGCCTGATAGGAAGTGAGATACCAGGAATTCATGACTTAAGGTGTATGAGGAAACCTATCTAAGTCACATTCCTACCTGCTTTCTCTGAAAGCCAAAGGTGGTAGGACCAAAGACAAATTAATCAAGATGACAAGCTGGTATATAGTTACCAAAACTGGAGTTTTAGTAGTCAGAGATTTGGGGATTCTTTGTAAATGATTGAATGAAAATTCCGCTTCTGGAATCCTCATTAGAGTGCGTGGTGTTGCCCACTGAATTTTAGGCAACTAATGACTAGCCTGATGTACTGACTTCTATTATGTCTTTGCTTTAGCCAGCTGAGAGAGTGTCCCCTCACTGTGCAGTCACCATACAAACCACTGCTCAAATGGATGGATTTAAGAAGCAGGAATGGTTTGAAACCTGTTTGTCGTGATGCGTGCAGAAAGAAGAGTTACTTGCTGTTGACAGTGTGCAGGTAAGATACTGTGAAGAGGAAAGAAGTAAGGGTAAAAAGTAATGGATTTTAAGTGCATTAAACCAAGCTATTAAAAAGGCTTTTTAAAAGTAAGGCTAAATAAACATGCAGAATAGGCTGTGCAGGGATGCTACAGTATATTGGTCAAATACAATTTGCACCAGACACTGAAATTGCAAATCCTGTGTTGAAGAAAGAGGAAGGTTAGTTTAAGTCTTTCCAGCCCTTAGTGATTTGCACTAAGTGTGATGGGATTTTTACATGGGTATAGGTCAGGCTTATGAAATACATATTCACATTTTATTATGACCATTGATGTTTGAAAACGCTAATGGAAAATGCATCCTCACTTAGGTTATTTTTAAAGTATGAGCAGCAACCTTGCAAAGCTGGTACAGACAGAAATTACATGTCTCAGTAAAAGTGAAAAGTCTGGTCTTAAAATATGTCTGCAAATGCCTCCAGGACAATCTTTTGTTTTAGTGTTGGCATAGAGCAGTGTTTCAAAGCAACATAGTTTGCATGACAGAAATTAGTTTTGGACCAAATGTTAACATTTTTATAAGTCAGTTCTAGTCTTTGGCCTGGTGTGGTTTGTAGTTAATAAATTTAACTGAATTGAGAAGAAATCATACCTGGATAACATCATCAGTTAATGCATTGAATTTGTCTCTTGGCTGTGGTATGGGAGGAAATATGTTCTTGAAACTGCAGTACCTTTGGGTAGAAAATGGGATTGTGGATAAATTGAAAATACAGCTAATATAACTTACACAAACATTTTATGTTGTAACTTAAGGACAGATTTTACTTTTAAGATTGAATATCTATTGCTTTACGAATAAATTGAGAAATAAAATATTTTCTGTGGGGTAACTGGTGGGAAAATATTACACTTAGCATTTGGGTTATTAAATTTTCTTTTGTGATTAGAATCACAGTAAATATGTTATTAAGAAATTACTTTGAATAAATCACGTGACATAACTTTCACCATTGAGTGAGAAGTTTCATGCAAATGTGCTAATTTGGATTCCCTCTTGTTGGGTGCTATATACAGCCAATGGCTTCAAAGCAACCTGGATGTTAAATGCTTAAAAGTAAGAACAAAAAAAGCTTTTGTAGGATCTGGTAGAATCAATCACTTAATAACTTCAACATCCTTTCCCACTTAGGAATTTTGCATGCCAAAGGGCCATCCACAGCAATCCTGGTGGTAATAGTTCATGACACTGGTGGTCAGATTATTTAAATTTGCATATAGGAAAGTAGGAGGTTGGAGGAATGTGTTTCCTATAGATAATACTCTGTCAGTAGTGTCTACAGAAAAAAATGTTGATTTACCTTTTGAAAAGACAATACAGAAGAAGTGTAATTGAGATTGTTCCCAGTGCAATCAGAAATAAAATCACAAAAATAAAGTAATCTTTCCCTTGACCTGAAATAGCCAAGAGAGAGAGAAATATTTTAGCATGTTGAAAAGCTGCCTTTGTGACTGTATGATGTAATGAATGTGAATTTCACTACATTTTTTGAATTCCCTAAAGGACTTCAACTGGACTTCCTTAGAGAATTTTGTCAAAAAATGCAGATGGACTTGATACATTTTAAGCCTTTTCAAATATTTAAAATTTAGAGAGTTAAAATTTAAAAAAATCTGGAAAAAGAGAAGAATAAACAGAATTACAGAACAATTAATAGAACAAAATTAATGGAAAGGGTGAAAAGAAAGATGCAGAAGGGAATGATGTGTGTGGTTAAAACTTAAGAGAACTGAGAGGCAGCCTTATCACAGCAGACCAAAGACAAGAGTGGGTCTGTCTCAGTCTGTTTCTGTAGCCCTTGCATCTGAGTAACTGCTGCCTTCACAATCCCAGCTAATCAAAGGCTCTGCTGCCAGACTATTGGAGCTACTCCTCCACGATAATAAAATCCACCCAGCTCCTTCCATGTAATTGGGTAAAAATTAAGATTTTATTCATTTCTGTGACTGTGAGGAAGAAAGGGAAGTAAACAAGATAATACTGAAAAAAAAAAAAAATTCACAGTCTTACCAAACTCAATGGGTTCACTCCATTCCCCCCAATTTGAGCTTACAAGACAGTGTTTTCCACGTGCTCTGATTTTCAGACTGTATCTTTTTTTCTCATTGTAATTTTGGAATTCATATCTGTCATTCCTTACCTAAAAGGAAGGTGATCAGACTCTACATTTCACCTCATAGGCAGTTGTTAACAAAGTTTTTGGGTAAATTTCCTGATACAGTTTCTATAAAAAAATAATTTGTGTGATTTTTTTAGGCATGTTCAATCTTGCCAGCAAAACTCTCTGGTCTTTGAAGGTTAAAATTTTTTTGAAGTTCATTTTGTCTTTGATTTCTTTTATTATGCTTTATGGACACTTTTTTGTTTTGTGTCCTTGTTTGTGGACCCTAAAGAACTCTGAAAGACACAAAGCAGAATTTGAAGTACCCTGTAAACTCCCCTTGCAACCCTTATGGGAATTAAACAGACATGGATGGTGTCTGTCATTGCTGAAAAGATTACATGTTCTTGAGACAATACAATATTTGGCCTCATGATACTTTATACAAATCCTGGAATCTGTCAAGCCCTTCCAAGGCTTAGAAGACCACTCTTTTGTAGGGGGAAGACTGACAGTATTTATTATATTCCCTAGGATTCTTGTACTCCCTTTGCCTAGCTGTCCTGAGCTAACAATGCGAAAGAGTGTTTCATATTTTTAGTAGGCAAAATGTCACACCTGTCAGAAACAAAATCTATTTGTGCAATAGATGGAATGCATGAAGTTTTGTGAAATGAGTGGAAAATTTTGCCTACCCCATCCAAAAGGGATGTATTAAATTTACACTTAAAGATATCACAGGATATTTCAGGATATTTTCCTGAAATCTCATTGCTACATTGATACAAAACCTGTAGTTCTAGAAGTAAGTGTATTTTCTGTAATGATATTTATGTGCTTAAGTAGGCAAAACCACAGATTTGTATGTGACAAGAATACTTACACGAGGAAGCTTTTTCTCTTCTTTGGGTTCATCCTGCAAAACAAAGACAAACCTTAATTTTTATTATTTTCTTATCAATCAAATATTTCTCTATTTTGTTCTCATTTTCTTGCTTTTGAAGATCATAAGTTATTTTAAACTGAAAAATCAGTCAGATATTATTCTCCAATAATGTCCCAGAATAACAGCATTTTATGCAGAGTTTTGTCTTTCTACATTTCCATTTTATTTATCAGTAGATGTGAGAAACTGTATTTACCACTAGGGGTATTTTTATAGGCACTATGCGTTCTCATCCATATCCAAATTTCGCAAGCCATCACATCATTCTACAAACACGGCAGATCTGGAAGCTGTGATTTCACAATAGTTTGCTGACCTGGGGCAGAAAATTGATGTGAATAGCAAATTTACCCTCCTTCCAGTCAAAGTCTCTGTTAGATTTATTCATGCTCAGGGGCTTTCTGTGAAGAGCTACTTACACATCTATGCTGTCAAAATTTAATTAACTGGAATCAAACATTGACCTGAATCAAAGAAGCTGAAAATTCTGAAGGAAAGGATAAGTTCAAAAATGAGTGAACAAATTCAACAGCAGTGAGTTTTAGTGATGATCTCAGAAAGCACTGAAAAGCTGAGGTCCTGGAAACGTCTATCACATGTAATATCAGGATAGCCAGCATTATGGAAAAGTCAGAAAGGCATAACAGAAGGAATGTCTCATTACAGAAAACACACTCACAGTGTGTCTTGGATTATAAAGCAGACTATAGTGCTTATATACATTTATAGACTGTATACAGAACAGGATGTAAACGAATTGATTAAACTTTAGATGTGTACTGCTGCTTTAGCTGTCTTACCCTCTGTTGGCCCTCCAGGAAGGTGTGAGTTCTAGCTGCCATCTCCATGTCAGTACTTCTGGTACCTTCAGCACCTCAAGGGCTGTGAGGCACCTACTGCTCCACAGCAGGGAGCCCTAATGTGCACTGACCCTTAGGAGATATTCCTGCTCCTGTGCAGACACCTACATTAAGGTGTTTTACTCTAGGAACTGAATTTCCCACACAAATGTAGAAATCTACACTGAACCCCACACATTCTGACTGTGGCAGAGGAAACAAGAGTTAACATGTATTTCTTTCAAATAAACCTTTCGACAATACTGCTATGTTGTGATTTATATCTTTCCATAAAACTTTGTGAGTACTTCACACAAGATCTTATATCTTGTCAAATTATACCAACCAGCTGGAAAGCTGCATGTACTGCAATTGCTCCTTGAACCAGTAGGTACCAAGATAGATACTATTAATATGTGAAAGATAAAAAATCCAGATAATCCAAACAGCCTGCAAGCCATTGGTCTTTTTTTAAAATAAACAAATGAGATTTAATGATGTCTTGCATTATTACAGTTGTGTATTTATGTTTAACCCTTAGCTGATCTTTCCTGTAATGGTCTCGTGGCTGAGCAATTGCTACCATGGTAAGCTTCTGAGCTGCAGAAGTTCATGAGAGGTGGGATATGAGACCAGCAAAACTGGAGCAGGAGGACACCACAGCTTATGAGAGAAAAACTGACAAATAAAGAAGTCAGAAATTTACCCATTATAGATATTCATGAGCGTAGGTTCAGTACCAAAGACAAACCAGGAAATTGTTTTTACCTTATTTTGTATGCTGATTTCATACTGAAAACACTTTGCTTCTTCCACATGACTTGTAAGGGGTGGATGCCACGTAATTATGCAACCTGCTGAACCTTTGGTACAATGGGCAGTGACATTTAATGGAGCAGTGAGTATTTCTGGGGAAAAAATGGAATAATTAATATAAGCATGGTCAGTAAACAGCTACAACTCATGCCTTCACAGCAAAATGCATGTGAAAGTGAGGTAGCTGATGTACAGCTGCATGCTGCTGGTGCTAGCTGAAGTTATCTGGTAAACAGCAGTAAAACACTTCACCAAAACTTGAGAATGTGTCATTGCAGGTTTTGGATATGTGAAGTAAATGAAGTTTGTGTAAAGAAAAGGTATGAAAGAGTTTGTACAATTCAGTAGTGCATTCAGCAGAGTGCCATGTTCTTCTATGTATGTTTTCCAACTGCACATTGGCAATGTGAGTTTCCATAGGAAAAAGGAAGTTTTTGTATGTGGGATATCATTCATAATGCATTCAAGGCATCTGAAGTGGAGTGCCTGTGACATTGCTTAGTCAGTGTGACCTGATTTCTCTTGGGACTTAAACACCTAACTCACAGAGATACCCACATAATTAACTAATGCAGTCCTAATTTGGAAGCTGAACCCTGACTCTGGTTTTAGGACATGTAGCTCTGGTGGCTCAGAGAGGTGTGACATTAAGGGATGTTAAAATAAGCTTTTAAGAAAGATGGCCTTGAAAATCTAACCATCGTGTTTCATTACTTGGAGTTCATGCCTAGGTCTACACCTTTTCTCTCAGCAGTCTTTTGCAGGTTGCCTCTGCCTTTGCTTGTTTTAGTCAAGTTTTGAAGCTATATTCTGTCAGCTGTTGGAATAAAAGTCTGCCTTGCAATGCAGGATACTGCAACAGCTACAGACTTTGTTTTAATCTCCTTTCCCGAAAAGATTCCCCACTTGCTTATTTTATAAAACAGTAATAAAATAAAATGTTCAATTACTTACCAATTTTATACAGGTCAAGGTACTCATCATAGAACTGAATCAGGGAGTCTTTGCTAGACCCATTCACCAGGAAATAAGCTTTTTCACTCCCTATGCTCACGTTTTGGAAGATACATCCCACATTTCTGCAATTTTCATCTTTAATGTAAAGTTCACACTCCATCTCCTCTTCATCTCTGTGCACAGCAAAGTATTCTAGTTAAACATGGGCACTGTGACGTGTGGAATGAGAATTCAGAACTCCCTGGACCAAAGAGACCTCCTTACCTTGACTTCTGCCAGTAGAGAAAATACTGTGTGTCTGCTGGAGCTTCCCTTCCTGCCTGCCAAGTGCAGTTCATGAGGAAAATGTTATAAATCACACAGGAGAAGTTTTCAATGGCTGACCCATTCAAGCCTGCAAACACAGGAATATCCATGATGAGGAAAACTCATTGACTGCTCCAAGCTGGAGGATCATGGCACACACTTAGATATGTTAGAACCTGCAAGCCCAGCTAGTTATTGCTTGGGTTAGGAATGACAACTGAGAGAAAACTCCACTCTCACTTCACTCCACTTTAACTGCCTCTGAACTGTGAAACTTGTCAGTAAGTGAAGCTTTCCACATAAAAAGGAATCACATTGCTTTTTAATACCATCCATGCTGCTACAGGGAAAAGTATTTCTCCTTTTGCAATTAATGCAGAGGAATCCACTCCTGATGTGTTTACACAGAGGATTAAAAATCCTGAGACTTTTAAAAGTAAAGTTGGACTTTTTCCTGCTATCCAGTCAAGCAGGCTCCTCCTCAGATTTTTCCACCTTCCTGTGGGTGACTTGCTCTTTTGCTCTTCTGGAGCACATTGAAATGGGAACCTTGTTTCTTCTGAAGGTCCCTCATGGCTTGGCTGTGCAGGCATCCTCAGCCTCTTCCTCTCTTCTCCTTCAAACCAGTTTTCTGCTTCTTTCTGTGCTATGTCCAGAATTCAGTGAAAGTGTGGAGGCTTCCTCTGCTACTGACTCCAGCCCTCTCCAGTGCCTAATAAAGAGGGCAGCCTTATGGAAGAACAAGGGAATCCTCTGGGCCAGCTGCACACCTAGAAGGGAGGGCCAGCTGGGGAGGAACATTGAAGTTTTGTGTGTCCTGGTTTGTATTTTAAGGGTCTCCACGGGTCTTTCCACTGTCGTTTCTACAGGAAGAGAAGAGCAACGAGCATTTTCTCAGGCATGAGAAAACTGCTAATCCATCACCTCTGTCATGTCTGAAATACCCCAGTTACATACTGCTGCTGCAGCACTGGGGGCTGAGGAATTTTAATGGAGATCTCTGAGCTGAGAAGGAAGGGAAAAATGGGTCACAAAAAACACACCAATAGCCCAGCAGAAAAGCATTCAATAAATGAGTACTAACATTCTTAGTCTGTAACAGCCAGAAGAGTTATTTGAAGCCACCCTAAAACCACTGTAATTTATTGACATTTTGGAGCCTTAGTACAAAAGAGAATAATGCAATTATGGACACATTTGTAGTAATACATCTCTTGCAGAGTGATGGAGATATTTATTACAGAGCAAATAGTTTTAACAGCTCTGAAAAAACAAAAAAAAAAAAAAAAAAGGTTTTAAGAAAATATAGCAGTTGCTTACTGTCCAAGTAACTGTTTTCTAAGGCAGTGTTTACCTTTAAAATATTGCAAATGGATAAAGCCTTAGCCAGACCATATACATTACCTCCAGGGAGAAAGGTGCAATGTTTTGAGATGTTTGTGTTTGGCACTTCAATGATAAAGAATACCCCTTTGTGCAGAGGCATGTGTATTTCCTCTGGAAAGCTGCACAGTGGACTATCCACCTGAAAGGAGAACATGTTGATATTTTATTTTCCCCTTCTGTTAGATGAGGCTGGCTATGGAAGTGCAACTCAGGAATGTAATGCCATGTTTATGTATGTTTTTGGCTCAAGAGCTATCTGTCTCCTTTAGCATTCAAGGGTGATATAAAATGTAACTGAGGGATCAAAATGTAACTACACAAAAAGCTTTGCTCAGGAACTGGATACTACACCAGTGTGCAACTATTTCAGGAGACTAATAGTAGCCCAGTGGCATAACAGAAGATGGCTAACACCTAGTGGAGCCAAAAAAGAATTTATTCAAAGGATTAAGCAAAATAAAAGACCTCATCTGACCTGCCCAGGGGTTAAAAATGTCTATGGTGTTGCATGTATAATCTTCAATAAAGATTAAGGCACCTTCTTTGCTAGACTAAATAAGCCGTCTCTATCTCTGTCGAGATTCCTATTTTTCTCTTTGGATAATGTGGGTTTATAACATAACCTGGGCTATAGGCATGATCTAATTTACTGGGAAACAAGTGAAAAACTTAAAATAACCATAATCCATGTCAGTGTTTCTTGGATTTTTTTTGTGGCAGGGTCTCTGGCTCTGTCTCTTTAAAGTCTCTAGGAGTCTCAATCTCACAGCCCCTTTTTTCAGCAGCTACATTAGTACTCATGATTCAACATAGCTGCAGTTCAGGCTATCATTTTTTTTTCTACTTTGGTGTCAGAATTTAAATTCTTTAGTATGCATTGGGTGCTCATCTCACAGCAAATGCACCCTGGCATTGCTGATGGCTTTCCACAGCCCCTAAGAGATCAAGCTGTAGACAGCAAATAGCCACATGTCAAATGTTATCTACAACATTCATTTTTTCCAAAGTAAGTGAAACTGATAAAAGGTACAATTATTTATCCCAACGAATAGCAAGTTTACCTCTATGTCTGTGTATTCCACATCCCTGTCCATGATGGTACATGTATACTCAGAGAAATTCCTGCTGCTCTCCCAGGACAGTTCCATTTTTCTCCAGTCCATATTCACATTTGTAATCAGTGATTCCTGTTTGTCTGCTGAAAGTGTTGCAGCATAAGTTCATTAAGGGTATGCTATTGCTTTTGTTGAATAGTAGAGGATAGTATCTGTCAGGCTTAAGATAACAATTGCCAGTTTCATTACAAGTATCTCTGATAAATGAAGAGTTAAACCTCATCTCTCAGATTATATCTGCAAAAACATACTTACAGTCCATACACTGAATATCAGCATGCAAAGGATGAAATAGCATCATATACCACCAAATCATACAAATGAGTCCAGGAGTATCAAACATATTTCCTTCTCTGAAAAGAGATAATGAAACCTTCAGAAAGAAAAACGAAACAATAAGAAAAAAAAGAGAAAGGAAAATCATGTTGAAGTATATTTTGGTTTTGCAAAACTTAAATATTTTAAAATACTCTTTAGAAAAGTCAGGCAGAGGGTGTGCTTCAGGATGTCTGGTAGGCACCTCTTCTTTGAAAGAACTGAATAGCCATGATAATGCCTATAACTAAGTAGTTTGAGATAAAGAGGTCACAGACTCCCATGATGATAAGTACACGCACTGTATTCTGTGCAGAGACCATGACTTAAAGTTGCTTTTTCCCACATATCTACCACATATCTATCCTAACTGTAGCATCAGAAAGTCAGGTTTTCTTGCATGAAAACAATCATCCTGCGACCATCACAATGCTGTGTTCTGCACTGGTTGCTAGAATGGTGTTGCTAACACACCAGTGTTTTGGCTGTTGCTGAGAGGTGCTGGCACAGCATCAGGGTTGTCTCTCCAGCCCCATCCCCCCGACTCTGCAGAGGCCAGTGGGACAGGGGTGAGCCAGAGGCTGGGAGGGAACATGGCCAGGACAGCTCACCCCAGCTGATAGGGATATCCCAGATTATATGGCATCACATTCAGCAATAAAACCTGGGAGAAAGAAGGACTGGGGAGGGATGAGGCATTTCTTGTCCAGACATCTGACTTCCAAAGCAACTGCTATGTGTCCTGTGGCCTGCTGTCACAGGGAGTGGCTGGATAGTATCTGCTGGGGGGAAGTAGAGAGTAAGGAAGAGGGGGAGTGAGAGAGCAGCTTGGTGGGCAGCTTGGTGGCCAGCCAAGTTCAGGACACCACAGTATTTTTTCCTGTTTACTATCACAAACGCATCTCCACTTTTCAAACTACATAACTCCCACAGTTCTTAGAGGTTTACATCCATACAGAATAGTTTGCTTCATATTTTTCCTTGCTTCAGTGTCAGAAACCAAGGCATCAGATATTCCAGATCACTGTAGGCAATTTAAATTACTAAGGAAGTGTGAGTACATGCAAAGGGTGACTCCACATTCATTCATATGCTACAGAGGACTGAGCAAAGCTAATCAAACAATGGCATCAGCTCTTGTCAAACATTTCTCATCTCATGTACATTTTCCTTTTCTCCAAGGAGGTTAAAACTCTTTAAAAAAGATTTCTCTATTCCCATCTATATTTTTTTCTACATGAAGAAGCAGCTCTGGTTAAATTTTTGTTTGCTTTAGCATTAGTGCAGTGCAACTTTGTAGTAGCAATTTTCTTGATTACAGGTAGTACTAAGGATAATTCTAAAACTGAATTAAATTCTTACAAACTCAGGAAAAAGAGAAACATGGTAATATTTTGTTAGTAGTGAACCCTTCTGTATTAATTTTTATGGTCATTTCAGAATGCTGATTTCAAACTGACTCCACTTGTGGTGAAAGCAAAAATCCTCCCTGATGTTCCAAGCAAGTAATTCTGTAGTCTTGAATATTTTCAGAAGGCATGTCACATTTCCTGGAAATTGGCTTGATGTGACATATCCATCATGGTCCCTGGGATTCAAGCCGGGCCAGGACACAATTCAGGGGTTGCAACACAGACAGACTCTTCACTGTAACCTGCTTATCTCTTGCAGCATCCATATTTGTAAGTCATCATACTACAGTGAGGATGTGGCCAAAGCTGCTGGGAAGTGATACTGAAGAATCTCAAGCACAAACAGTATGGAGGACTGGCCATGAAATGCTCTGTGAGATTGGTCTAAATAGTTATTTCCACTTTCCCATGTTCTCAAGGACTTCCCCAGAGATGCACGTGAGAATCTTGAGACCTGTTGTCCTTCTTAATCATATTTTTCTCCATTTTGTTCAGTCACTCAACATTTTCCCCTTCCTTTCCTCATCATATGTTCCTTTTCTAGGTATGTTTTCCTACTCTTTGGTAACTGTCTGCTCACCTTTCCTTTATTTTCTTTGTTTCATTTTTCTTGAGATCTCCCTTTCTCTGTTCTGATTACTCCTATGCTTTCAGAATCTCCCTCCTACACATGACTGCAGCCCCATATTGTAAATACCCTTCATGCCTTCTCATGGAAGTGCTCATCTGGGACACTGCCATAGGAATCATCCTGTCTGCTTAGAGAAGTGTTTGCTGGCATCATTGTCTCTGTCCTCTGGACATTTCTTTGGACACGCAGTGGGAATAGCAGGGCCTGTAAGCCTTCACTTTCCTCTTAAGAAATGACCATTCCAGCTGAATGTCCCAACACATAGCCAGATCCTCAGGGCTTTTTCTGCCTGCAGGCAGGATGAGCGATATAGGAGCTGTGATGATCCCTAAGCCATTTAGTTGAGCAATCCAGAGCTTCTGTGTGGTGGCCAAACAGGTGGCTCCAGCATTGTATTTTTAGGAGTTTTCTGCCTCCAGGACCTCCACCCTCTTTCAGACTGGTCTTCTTCGGACAGATGTGGTAAAGCTCTCTCTGGTCTGAAGTCAACTCAGTGTTGAATGTGCCAGAAAGAACACTCATGTCAGAATGATTGTGAGTGTTATTTGGAGGATCAGACCAGAAGAACCAAACATATTCTGTTGTAGGCAGTATTTCCTCATATTTCATCAAAATAGAATTTATTAGGATGAAAATGCCCAAATTAGATGATTTTTTCTGCCTTGCCTCTTTCCTTTTTCTCCCCTGGCCAGCCTCAGAAGTGTGTGTCTGTCCTGCTACGCAGGGGAGGGCCCCAGGGGCTCCTCAAGCACCTGTTTTCCTGACTCCTCAATTCTCAGCTCACTCCCTAGCTCTCTCCAGGATAGTTTGTTATAAACCAAATCTATCCACCTTATCAATGTGTCAGAAGTAAAATACAGTCAGGTAGTCTGTAGTGGTTTCTACAGAAAGCATCCACTAAATACTGACTTAAGCACTATCAATTCTTACCCTCTTAGTCTATTGTTTTTGCTCTTAGGCTGTGAGTGCAGAAAATGTCACTTGAGACCAGACTTATTTGCTTCAGTGTCTCTAGGAAAATTACTCCTGCCCATGACACACTTCCAGAAATGAAACTTTGTATTTTACCCACAGGGTAATGAGAGGATAAACTGATACTTATACATTGCCAAGATAAGGAGACTATCCTACACTGGCTAAGCCTTCCTGGAAGCACTGAAATAAGAATAGAAACCTTACAATGCATACCAAGCAATGAAATATTACTATCAGACTTCTGCCTAAATACAACTGTTTCAATTTTCAGGTCAGTATTCTAATTCCTGTAGATGATACAAAACTGGGAGTAGTGGGTGATAATGTTTTGCTTCAGAGGGACTGGGAGGAGCTGGAGAAATGGGATGACAAGAATCTTTTGGAACTCAGCAAAGAAAGGTGCTGAGTCCTGTGCTCTGGGAGGAGCAACCCTGGCACTAGCAGAGGCTGAGATCCACCTGGAAAGCAGTTTTGCAGAGACAGCACAGGCTGACCACGGGCCAACAATGTGTCCTTGCAGAACAGAAGATCAAAGGCACCCTGGGCTGCATGAGGCAGAGTGCTGCCAGCAGGAGGTGTTCCTGGAGTGCCTGGCCTTGTTCTGGTATCCCCAGAAGAAAGATATGGAACTACTGGAGAGAGTCCAGCAAAGACGATTAAGGGCTCTGACATATGAGAGGAGGCTGAGAAATCTGGGATTGTCCATCCTGGAGAGATGAAGGCTCAGCGGGATGTTATCCATGTGTACAAATACACAGCTGTGGGGAATGAGAAAGAGCCAGGCTCTGCTCAGAGCTGACAAGTGACTGGACAAGAAGCAATAGGCAAAAACTGAAATAATGGAAATTCAACTTAAACACAAGAAAACATCTTTTGCTGTGAGGTAGTCAACTACTTGAACAGGTTTTCCAGGAAAACTTTGAAGTCTCCAGTGTTGGAGATACTGATTGTACAAAGCCCTGAGCAGCCTGCAGTAGCTGACCCTGCTCTAATCAAGGCTTGAGACAGAACAATTTCCAGAAGTGCCTTCCAGCCTCAACCATCCCATGATTTTGTGATTTACTTTTTTCCCCCCAAGAAATAGTAATCTACATATTTCTAGTTAGAGCAATTTATAGAAAGGGTACAGAAAATAACATTTCTTTCAGTTATTGAAAAATAGATGTCAGATAAAAAATGTCAAATAGTGCAGTAGATATCATAGACGTTTCATAGTCTTCCTTGGATCATGCAGAACTCTTTAGAAAATTTGTATATACACATTTCTACTTTTAATCAAATAGGCAAAAGAATCCTCAACATTTTCTCTAAAATGCCTTAAGGTCAAAGGACACTAATTCAGATTTTGTACATGTATGACTGTACCTAACTTAATCCCTGGAAAATATTTGCATCCTGCAAAAAGTCTTCTGTGGCACAAAAAATCAACACACAACATAGAGAGACATACCTTCTCTTGAAAAACTCTCCTCATTTATCTTGTTTGATCTTGGTTTGCAGTAATGAGGACACTTGTAGTTGTATTCACATACAGAAATCTCTAAGTGTTTTCCTCTGCCAGTTAGCTTTGTTTTAAATAACAAATGCTTCAAGTTAGAAAGCTGCTCAGTTTATCATTTCCCTTACTGCTTTTTGAGCTTTCTTGAGTTTCCTGATTGGCAGATGTTAACAACTTCACATGAAGAGATCATGCAACTAACTCTTCCTTCCTGTTATGTCAGATGAACTAAGCATTAATAGTCACAATATACAAACATATTACCCAAAAATACAGAAATACTCAATAGAATCACAGTATATCAACATGCTCATAGAAACACCACTTCTATAAATAAACAGACTTTCATGAATAATATGTTCTGGAAATAACAGCAGTGTCGTGTGAGTGTTCCATGTTTAAAGTGACTGCTTGTATATGTTGGTTATGGCCCCTGCACGAGCCCAGGCGAGGAAGATTAGTCCTTAGCAGGTATATATAAACATACATATATATATATATATGTTATATATATATAAACAGCCAAGAAAGTTCTGTCTGGCATATTTGCAGGCAAAGAAATGCCAAGGAAAATACCAGACCCAAATTTCTGAACTTTCTCGCTGCCCAGCTGTGGGTTGTTTTTTTGTTCTGTTCATCATGGGCTACAATATCATGTTAGGTGAAAAAGTGTTTGCAGAAATTAAAAGAAAATGTCCACAGCATTTACTGAATAACATAATGTCACATTTGCAAAACTCTTTGCAGTCATGTAAATATGTGAAAAATAATACATTTCGTTTGCTTTAACTTCCAGCAACATCAGATGTGGCTCTGACTGTCGCTTCCCCATTTGTTTTACATGACATCTGACATGCAGTTACGTAATCTGCATGTAATGGATTTTTGTTTTTTTTATTTCCTGCTCTTCTTGAATGCTTTTAGCAAGCAGGATTTCAGTTAACCCCTACATTCTACTCCCAACACAGGCACAATAGAAGGAAGTTGAATGATTCCCTAGGCTTCTAAGGAGAGATAGAGGATCCTTAGTAGTTATTCTGTTATAGAAAGAACTATTTTTAACCCCACTATCATTGAACCAAAATTGTAGGGTGAGTTTGTTTGTTTGTTTGTTTTTTTGGCTAGTGTATGTGCTCAGATCCACCAATTGCTAACTACTTCACAGTTCTTTCAAATTTTAAACATCTTTGCTTTTCAGTCCACACTGCTCAGTCTTTCCCACCTTTACCCAGTGATTCCCACTGGAAGGACATGTTAATATTATTTTCCATTTCAAATCCTTGGGTGAAAAAACCTAGGTAAGCGAATGAACAACAGTTTAGTCACAGCATGTGTGAGGCAGGGCTCAGCTGCAGAATTTTGTCTCTAGAACCACATACTGGGACTGGTTCAGTCCTGGTCAGCTTTTCCAGTACCTTGAGAACAGGACATGTGTGTTTCAAATCTACCCACTAAAGGACTTCATTTACTATTCTATGTAACCTAAAAGAAAAACATCCAGTACATGTGTAGTCCCAGTTCAGTGTGATCTGAAACTCTCTGTTCATCAAATATGCTCTTCTTGGGTACCACTGCCACCTTGAGTAGCTTTTTTAAAGCATTATGCTTCCATGCCATGCATATTTGTGATGTAAACTGTGTGTCAGTGTGCCTGATTAATTTTGATGAGGGGATTAATTTGCAGGCTGTTGTGATGGCATGTCTGGTGAGGTTCAAGGTGATATGAAGGTGGCACCTGACCAGTACCTTCAGGCTGCCCAAACAGTGGCTGAATTAGTTTTAGCAGATCCATTTGTAACACTCTGGCAGTGTTCAAGAAGTGACTGGATGTGGCACATAGTTACATGGCTTACTTGAAAAGGCGGTGGTGTTAGGTCAAGGATTAGGCTCAACGATTTTTGACGTATTTTTCAGCCTTAATCATTCTGTGATTCAATAATTTTGAACTGTAACCTGGACTAATTTATCAGGTTTCTATCTGTAAGACATTTCCTGATTCTGTTAAGTATGTTATCCTTTTTCAGGAGAAAGCAAGAAACAAGTGAGGAGCTTGTTTAAGTTCTATTTAACAAGACCCCAATGCCATCTCTTGAGTGTCTTGATACTGTCTTTATTATACTTTATTAATCTCTTCCTCACATTAAGCCACTGAATGGTTGCTCATAGCTCATGGCTAGGTTTTGGGGACTGGAGCCAAACTATGCCTCACTCTGGCATTTTTTCCCAAGAGAAGAGTTACTGTGCAAGGTTATATAAACCAGTGCAGTCTGTTACAAACCATCTCTCTTTTAGCAAGTTATTGTGAGCATTTCCACTCTGACCACTGCTGCATACTGGGAAAAATACAAAGATGGTTTACAAGTTAGAAATTTGCTTTTTTTTGTTCTGACCAGCTGCAAAAAGCTTCCCAGGTGAGTCTTTGACCAAAAGGTAATCATTAACTGCGTCAAAGGCACTAAGTGTGCTGAGAGCTGTTTGTGTTCAGCTACAGTATAAGCTGGAGAAAGTACAGCACTGGAACATGTCCAGGAACAACTGTTCCCAGCATTAGTTTAGCCAGGATTTACAAGTAATGTCCTGAACAGCTCCTGGACATAGTCCAGAGGTTAGCTCAGGCCAGTGCTAATTTCTAAAGGTGGTTTGCATGTGTCCACCTTATTCAGGAGTTTAAGAAAGCATGTCTGGACTCTTCCATTTGATTTGGCCCCTGTGCAAGAAAATAGTCCCAGGAGTGTTTAGTCTAATAATAAAACATCTAGTATCATTATAAAATTAGTCTAATAATCAAATAGAAATGTTCAAATGTCTAGTGTAAAATCTGAGTGAATCTCATTTTTCTCGTTGCCCATGTGTACTTGAACAGCTCCAAAGAAACTTCTAGTATGAATTGACCCATTTTTGATAGTAGAACAAAGGAATTCAGGCATCAGAAATTTTAAAATTGTATCAATTTCAATAAATTAATTATTAACTTTTTTAATATGGGACAGAAAAACAATTATTTTTCCTTAAGGTTGAAATGTAACTAAAACTTCCTGAATGAAATATTTCAATCATATTTACAAATGAGAAGATATCCAAACAGTTAAAATTAGCCAAAACTAAAAGAAAATACAACGGAATTTAAAAAGATTGCATGTGAGGCATCATTCTGTCTTGACTGCATTGCTGTTTTCTACAAGAAAAAGAAGAAAGTGAAGAAAGCTATATATTATTCCAGACTTTCCACGGGAATATACAATTGCGCAAGAAATGCATTTTCAAACTCCTCCATTTTTCTTGGTTATCTCACGATGTCAGCAACTAATACTATCTCTTCATTTTCAGATGTTAGTGGCTGAATTTTGTTCTCCATCAGCTGAAAGGAAAAGAAAAACTTCCATCAATTTTATACATAAAGTTAGGTCAGCCTCTAGTTACACACAATTCTGAGAGTATTTCAGCTGTTTTTGCTCTGTGTGACCAACACAGTCTGTCCTGTTTCCTTACAAAACCCTCTTTTGAATTGTTTTCTGTGTCACCTTCTTTTCTTTGCTGCATATGTAACTTGTTAGTGGGCAAGCAGCATATGTAACTTGTTAGTGGGCAAGCAGGCAAGGTGTGCACCTGGAGGGATTCAAGTGGGCAGACTGGAATGGGAGAAACCCTGTGGTTCTGAAAGAGAACTGCATTTCACTTCCCTTAAAAAACCTGCTGATTTTCTTCTGTTTTTCTTCATATGAAAATATGAATATGGCAAAGATTTTCTTCATATGAAAATATGAATATGGCAAAGAGAGGAGTGATCCTCTGTAATAAGTTCCTTATAATTTTAAAAATTCAGCCAATAGAGTTTTGTATGTATTTCACACATCTAATATAAAAATAGAGAACATACCTCTGGATTTGTATCAGCCAGCGTAAAAAAATCAGGTTTTGGTCCTGGGATTTGTGGAAATGCTGCCTTCCAACAGCCAATCCTGGAAATCAAAATGTATTGAATCCAAAATTAAAATTGAATAACCAAAATGTGGCAACACCATTGCACCCTTGAACCAGCTCTTATCTTCCTCTTCTGTCTTAGAAATGAACTGAAAAATATACATAATCTCAACACAGAATGAACGTGTATCAGGAAAACATTAATAATTTGTGTGGTAATAGATTAATTTTTGATTGAAGATTTACTAGTAGTGAATTTCCTTCTTTGACAGGAAAAGAAATTTGTCCTGCAATGTCACTACCAACAGTGAAAAGTGGTTGTAAAAATTTTAACAAGTTGAGAGAGCTGTGTCTTCTCTATATTATTTCTATGCAAAGTGCATCATGTATATAGAATACACTTTTTCTTTCCTTTTCTCTTTCGCTTAAGTGGTTTATTTTATCCTACAGAGACACCTCCACCTTATTTGTTTAAAAACTTTAGGTGTTACACACACACACACACAAATACAGAGAAAATAAATGCACAAATTAAGCTTACCTTTTGCAAAAAGAAAAAGTGATTATTGCCATTAAGGGTGTTGCAACTGCTACGCCAAGTAAAATCCATACTGAAGGAGATATAATTTCATAATTTCCTGAAAGAGAAACTTACATAAATTAGTAGTAGTAGTGGTGGTGGTAGTAGTAGTCATATAAGAATAGATAATAGAATTACAGAACACAGAATAGGCAGGGATGCCTTCCACTGGAGCAGGTTGCTTAGACCTCCAGCCTGGCTTTGAACACTTTCAGGGATGGGGCACCCTCTCTGGACAACCTGTGCCAGTGCCTCATCACTCTCACAGTGAAGAATTTCTTTCTAAAATCTTACCTAAATCTACACTCTTTCAGTTTAAAGCCATTCCCCCTTGAACTACATCTACATGCCCTTGCACAAAGTCCCTCTCCAGTTCTCTTGTAGTGTCTTTAGGTACTGGATGAGTGCAACAGGGTGTCGTTCCAGCCTTCTCTTTCCCAGGTAGAACAACCTAAATTTTCTCAGACTGTGAGAGGTGCTCCAGCCCCCTGATCCTTATTGTGGCACTCCTCTGGACTCACTCCAACAGGTCCATGCCCTTCCTGTGCTGGATGCAGGGTTCCAGCTGGGGTCTCAGCAGAGCAGAGGGGCAGAATCCCCTCTCTGGCCCTGCTGCCCACACTGCTTTGGATGCAGCCCAGGGCACGTTTGGCTTTCTGAGCTGTGGGTGCTCATGGCCTTCAGCCTCTCACCCAGCAGCACCCCCAAGTCCTTCTCAGCAAAGCTACTGCCAATTCCTTCATCCCCCAGACTGTATTGATACCAGCAGCTGCCCTGGCCCTGGAGCATCACCTTGAACTCTGTCTTGTTGAACTTCATGCTGTGTCAAACATCTGCTGTGGTGACTGACTGTGGTGAACCTTTCAGTCTGAAAAGTTTTGCTTGGTATAGAAATGAATTCTGTAATTTATCACTTTAACAGAAATGTCTGATGGGAAGAACTAGCATTGATCTTAATTGTTTCCCCCCTACAGTAAGCAGGAGCTCACTACAGCTGCAAAGGTGTAATTTTAAATGTTATTTGCAGTGTTAGGATGTTAAGAAATCTATTAAGTCTCTTCCAACTCTCCCCTGTAGTGTGGTGTGAAGCAAAATTTTTGCCAATCCCTTGTGCCTTTGTGTGTCCATAGGTGTGAGGTAGACAGGACATCTCTGGGGGAAGTGTAGCCCAGGGCATGGGTTTGTTCTTACCAAACTCAACGGGTGCACTCCATTCCCCCCAGGCTGGGTTCACAAAGCAGGCACTGCCAGCTGCTCTCATTTTCAAGACATACTTCTTTCTTTTATTGGATCTTAGAAATATGTTGTTATTTCCCCCTTCCTAAAAAAAAACCAAAAAAACTGAGCTGCTTTTCATTGTTCCATGTCTGTGTTGACAATATGCATGTTCCATTTACCAGTGAAAGCTTTAAGAGGCTATGAAAGCATTGCTTATTAAAGAAGACTGCTGTTACAGAGAAAAAAAACCATTATTGTTATTTATATAATATATATGCAAATATGTATCTCAAAAAAAAGCTCACATTCATTAAACTTTTTACATTTAGAAGCATTTCATCTTCTACACTGTGAAAGTGTAACCTGTGATTTCTTATGATATGCTTTTATTTATTGATACTTTCCCTAAGCACATAGAGAGGTAGAAAAACCTCTTGAACCATCTCATTTTAGTACTGCTAGAACTGAGTGATTTGAGGAATAAGGTGCCTGTGCACCTGCCTTTAGTCTCTGCGTTATAAGTTTTCAGAAAAAAACATAACTTTCCAGACAATCCTGTAAAATGAGTAGATGACTGCAATACTTATTGTGACTGGAATTTACTGCAGTACTCTTGCTCTTGGAGACTTTTGCATAGAGGTGAGATGTGCAAGCTGCACTGATTTAAAGGAGGTGCAGCATACCTGGATGACAGCCTCCATCCCAAAAGGACTTTTGTGGTCTATGTTTTTTACAAACAAAATAGAATTCCTAGGAGATACTTTATATTTTCTCTGTTGTAAGTGATGTGTAACTTCAAAGTATATTCCAAATATTTGAGAAGGAGAGTGGACAATATAATGAAAAATGGGAGATTTTTCAAAATACTTACAGAGAAGCAGTGAAGTTCTGCCCCAGAATGTATAATAAATTACATATGCCATGATGATTTAGCAGTTTGATGCATTTGTGAAATCCATAAATAAGGTTCCCATAAAGCATAGGACACTGAGCACATACTCATGATTTAAAGGTATTTGCATACTATTTACTTTTCACAGTTGACAATGAAATTAACATGTATTGCTGATTAATAGAACAAACAGACTCACTTGTATGGAAGTATATATGGGTTTTCCTTCAGGATTATCCTGTAAATTGAAAGAAAAAGAAAAGCAAGTAACTTTATTTTTATCATTGCTTATATTTCAATAATAATTAATTTTTATCTACTGTCCCATTTTACTGCATTCCCTTTCTTATGGACTTCATGGTTTGTTCAGAAGAACTAGCAATTTGTCTAACATTTAGTATCTAATATCTAATTCATCTACAATGCCAAGTTTATATAGTAATTAATTCTGCTATGGAAAATTTTTTGTTTTCCTTGTCATCACAGTTTCATATTGAAACACAAAACAAATCAGACCTAAATGAAAACTACAAGTTTATTATTATAGACACCAGGGAAAAAATAAAAAGACAGAAGATAAAGAATCTGTGAAATAAACTTTTCTGTTTACATCTAATATTTTAATATTACAGTGACACTGTATGTAATTGTAAATATTATGTAAATATTATTTTGTTTTCTTTTAGATGAAAATATTTGGGACTGGCATGGATTCACAGATATTTTAGATTGCCCTCCACTACATTTTTGATAGACAGAATAAAATTTGCTCATCTTATTTAAATAGCCATAATAATTACCATATAATGTACTGACCACACACAACTAATGACTGCAGACTATATAATCTCCATTAGATAACTAGTTATGTATTTTTGTAATTATTTTGCAATACACCATTTTAGAATAAAATTAATCCAGATTTATTTTTTCAAATAATTGCATGCATGCCCGTGCACCATCTGAACATGAGGCTGTTCAGCCTGGAGAAGAAAAGGCTCTGGGGAAATCTTCCAGCACCTTCCAGCACCTAATGGGACCTACAGAAAGGCTGGAGAGGGATTTTTCACAGGAGTATTGTATATGTATTGTATATGTATTATATATGTATTGATAACACAGGAGGGATGGCCTTAAGATGAAGGAGGGTAGGTTTAGATTAGATATTAGGAAGAAATTCTTTACTGTTCTGGTGGAGAGGCACTGAGACAGACTGTCCAGAGAAGCTGTGGATGTCCTTGGAATTGTTCAAGGCCAGGCTGAATGGCGCTCTGAGTAACTTGATCTAGTGAAAGGTGTTCCTTCCATGGCAGGAATTCAATTAGATGGTCTTTGAGGCCACTTCCAACCCAAACTACGATTTTATAAAGCAATCTGCTGTCCAGGACACCTTCTAGTATCTGCAGTCAAGCTAAATTATACACAGGGATCAATCTAGGAGAAATATCCAGAGCAGGTCAACACCTGGCTGAATACCACTGTCACAGAGAGGGCTTTGTCTCTTGTCTTCTATGACCTTGGGATCCTTTTTGAGAAAGAGGGGCAGGCATGGGATGCATCTCACCAAGTAGGGTGACTGTGTCCCTGTGTCCTTGCAAACAGGCTTGGTAACCTGGTCCTTCTACTGCTTAATAAGGAGTATCTTGTATGCACAGAGTTCTGTCTGTAATGAACCAGTAAGAGAACTTGTGTGTAGGTATCAGAGGACAGACCAGCAGAGTTGTTAATGCAGTAGGTGCCTGTTCCAGAACTCATGATCAGAAAAGAAAAGAAAAGAAAGCTGATGAGACTTTCTACAGGAAACCTCATGGTCACAGGCTTTGGTACTCCAGGGAAAGTACCCTTAAAGACCAAGTTACTTGTTGATCTACAAGGACAACCTCCTCAGAGCACAGGAATCATAGAATCATAGAATTTCTTAGTTTGGAAAAGACCTCTAAGATCATTGAGTAAAACTATTAACCCAGCACAGACAAGTTCACAACTAAACCATGTCTGCAAGTGCCACATTGCAGGGCTAAATGCGTAAGAACAATAAGGAGATGGTGATGGAGGTAGAGCAATAACCACATATTTATTGCTTGTAATGAAACTCTTTATGTTTTGTTAAGATCACTATTCTACATTGCAATATATTGTTAGCTATGTTGCCTTTGGTTGGATTTACCCAAAACTTGTTGTGTATTATGTCATTTACCCTAATCAGCCGTGATTTTTATGTGACAGCTCACAGGGTTATTCATGTAGGCATCACACTTGGTCCTCATGAGGTGTCTCATAACCTGAAGCCAAATGTCCCTTGCCAAGGGCTGCTGCTCCACAGTGCTGGGGATCTCCTCTCTTGCTCCTTTAACTCACTCAGGAAACTACTGGGAAATCCTTTCTGGGATGCTGAGGGAATAAAAGTCTTCTGACCATTGCTTGAATGTATCTGACACTGCTTGAATCCGGGCAGGCACCACAACTGGTGGAGACCAGTCCAATTCTGACACCTGGACTGAACACACAGCCATATGTTTTCTGAACACTTCAAGAAATGGTGATTCAATCACTTTCCTGAACAGTTTGCTCGAATTCCTGACCACCCAAATACTCAATCTAAACCACCCCTAGTGCAACTTGGGGCCGGCCATCTCTTCTTGTCCTGTGGATTGTTTCCTGGGAGGAGAGACTGACTCCCACCTGGCCACAACCTCTTTTCAGGTGGATGTAGAAATCATTAAGGTCTCCCCTGATCCTCTTTTCTCCAGGCTAGAGAGCCCCAGCTCCATCAGCCACTCCTCATAAAACCTGTGCTCCAGACTCTTCACAGCTTAGTTGCCCTTCTCTGGACACACCTGAATGATCCATTTTGGTGTGCAGAAAATCAGGTAAACGTGCTAGGTGAGCATGGCAGGACATGAAGATTGAGTCTGAACTCAGAGGCTAAAAGGAATTATACAAAATGTAGAAGAAGGGTTTTGGGAATAATACAAAGACATCTGCACATAGAGGGATGGTGTCAGGAAAGACAAAGCTAAGCTAGAGGCAAGACTAGTGAGGGAGGTGAGTACAAGAAAGTTTTTGATGAGTTCATTGACAAGAAGAGAGGTTATGGAGAAAGCAGGCCTGTTGCTTACTGAATTGGGTGAACCTAGTGACAAAGGACATAAGGGAGGTGGAGGTATTTGGTGCCTTTTTAGCTGAGTTTCCCCTGCTAAGTTTTGCCTTTGGTTTTCTCAGATATTCTGATCTATAAACCCTAAACAAAAAACATCACTGAAGAAGAAGCACTTTTTCAAACATGAAAAAAAATGTGATTGAAATTATCTTACTCATGGTGTTATCCTTTTTTCAAATTTTTTTTTGTTTACTCCCAGTTCAAGAAACTTCAGTTGTGAAAAATAAAATTTAAAAGCTGATTGTAATGCAGCATTTGTTGGTCACAGTGTATTGGTAAAGACCCACAAGTTTACACCTGCCAGTGATAAAGCAATACATATGGCAGAAGAATTTTTTATGGGTGAATCTTCCAAAGATATGATTGTAGTTGCATCTTCTAAGTGTGAAAGGACCCCTCACTGCTTAATTGCTGGAATAATTGCTGCCCCTTGACTCAATTAGCTAGGTGAAAACTGTTAATGATGATGAAAAAAAGCTAGAAAATTCAGACAAGCTGTGAATTGAGTATTCCTTATAACTTGAGTATTACATATATTAAAAATTATTAAAAAGTATGTATTGCTTTACTGCAATAGATGTTTATTCCAGTGTCACACTGAGTTTTCAATAAGTTTTCTTTGTTACAACAGCTAAGTGATTCAGACAAGTAATGGTGTCTCATGGCAGTTAGTTGGTCTTGCAAAAAAAGCTCATCTGTGAAAGAGTAAACCCAACCCAGACTAAGAAACTCCGTATTTCAGAAACCTAGGGAATGAATGCCTTCAATCAGCCACAAAGTGGGTGGCCAAAGCTCGTTGTAGTTCAGGAAGATTTTTCCTCTGTAGTCTCTGTCTGCCACCCTGTGGCCTTTTGATGCAGTTCTGCCGCAGTGGTTTTACATCTATTCTTGGAGTGGAACACAGCAATCTCCTTCCCTGTTGCTGCCAAAAGACTTGTAAAGTCAAGGTCACCCCCTCACTAACCTGTCCTTAATCATACTGCCTCTCTGCTTTCTCTCACATTTATTTTCCTTTTATCTGTCATTTTAAATCTTCAACTGGTGGGATGCTTATAGCTGGATAAGCTATTTGCATTTCATATATGGAGAAATTTCATTCTCTTCCATTAACTCAATGGACTTAATTGTTGAGTGAATGCACATTTCTCTTTTCACTATTTAAAGCCCAGCTTGGCCCTTCCACAGAGATCCAGTCTCCATTGGAAAGAGTCCAATCAAGGACAACTAAAAAGGTTTTAGTGAAAGAAGTGCCTTTTATGAGTGCTGTCACAGACAAAGGTATGATATGTTTGAAACTTGATTAATCATGCTTCTCCTCTGGGACTGTCCCAGGAATCCAGTGTCACTCCAGCAGTATCTTACTCAAGGGAGTAGAGATTAAAAAAAATAAAAAATAAAAAATATGCAGAATGGCATAGCAGGATTTCATATGGACCTGAAAATTGCAGACACAAAGGAATAAGGTGATATGTATGGGGAAAGCTATATTATAGTAGAGAGACATTTTCTTTTCACTCATGTGTATTGGTAAATGCAAACATATGAATTAATATAAGCGTGAGTGAAGACAGTCTTACCTCATACTTTATGCTAATTTCATATTTAAAACACAAGTCTTTGTCAGAATGACTTATTTGGGGTCGTTGCCATTGAATTATGCAATCATTTTTAATTTCATCACAGCTGACTGTGATATTTGATGGAGGCATGAGCTTTTCTGAAATGATATAACCAAGAATTCAAATAATTAAAATCACTTGATCTACTTTTGATTTGTTGAAAGAGAGTGAAATTGCAAGTAACACCTCTATGAGGAATGATACTCATTTGTACTGCAGATGAGCTAGCTGCTGCTGTCCCTAAAGTAAGAAATCCAAAGACCTTTTCTTTTTTTCTCTAAGCCTCCTCATGATGCTCCTGTGACCTGAAGGTGTTGCTTTCTATCTGTTGCAATGATGCAGTTTATTTTCTCCTTGCAAAAGAAATAGCCATACAAATTTAAGAAGCACACTCCATTTTTAATAGTCTAGCCAACTTTGTGTATCGCCCCTCACTTTACAGACGCAAGCAAAAGTATGAGGGCCTTTATATTTTCATCATTGCCAATGACTTGATTATTGGAACAGCAAAAGACAGTCACTCATGGCAGACAGGGTGACAAAAGGCTGATAGAGGAAAGTTTAATATCAGCTAGACTACTACTTTTCAGCAGTGTTTAGGGACAGGCCTGGCCTGTTTGTGATGGGGTTCTTGGTCAAAGAACAATCTTGTTTTATCTGCCAGGAGTGACATTACACCTCAATTTCCTCTTATAGAATGAAGCCTTTTGTTGTTCAATTTTTGAGCACAGTACCAAAACCAGTGTGACATTACTAATGAGACTTTGCCACAGTAAAAGTAACTGCAGAGGATGTTTTCAAGTACAGCACCACCTGAGAAGGTATGTTGTGTGTGTGTTAACTCATTTTCTCCAGGGTATGGTGCCATGTATTTCATCTGCACTGGCAATGAAAAGCAGAAATCAGTGCTCAGATAAACTTCTAAAAGGTCTCCTCTCTCCTCTGTTGGAAAGTATTTGGCCATCACTGAAAGGGCAGCAGGGGAAAGTACAGTTTTTTAAGTCCTGTGGACCTTGCTTGAGAAAAACCTAAAAGCCATAAGGGTAGATCACTAAAGAATCTGAGGCAGAATGCAGTTGTGGAGCTTTGGTATTTACCTCCCCTCTTAGTCTTTTCCTTGGGGTATAGGTTTTCTTGAGGAGACCACAGTCTCTTACTCTCAAGTCTAGGTGAGACATGATACATGGTTCCTTCTCAGAAATAATTGTTCTGCTATTTTCTTAAAATAATTAAAATAAATCTGAAATAAATATTTTACTTACCAATTTTATACAGGTCAATGTACTCGTCATAGAACTGAATCAGGGAGTCTTTGCTAGACCCATTCACCAGGAAATAAGCTTTTTCACTCCCTATGCTTACGTTTTGGAAGATACATCCCACATTTCTGTAATTTTCTTCTTTAATGTAAAGCTCACACTCCATCTCCTCTTCATCTCTGCGCACAGCAAAGTATTCTAGTTAAACATGGGCACTGTGACGTGTGGAATGAGAATTCAGAACTCCCTGGACCAAAGAGACCTCCTTACCTTGACTTCTGCCAGTAGAGAAAATACTGTGTGTCTGCTGGAGCTTCCCTTCCTGCCTGCCAAGTGCAGTTCATGAGGAAAATGTTATAAATCACACAGGAGAAGTTTTCAATGGCTGACCCATTCATGCCTGCAAACACAGGAATATCCATGATGAGGAAAACTCATGTGACTGCTCCAAGCTGGGGGATCATGGCACACACTTAGATATGTTAGACTCCAGCTGGTTATTCCCGGGTTAAGGAATGACTCATTTCATTTTGTTTGCTAACACTGCAAGATCTTTGCCCTGACAGATTCAATGAAGAATTTTCTATGGACAGATCCTCCAAAGGTGTGATCATAGATGCAACAAAACAATTTTTGTGGGGAAAAAAAGCTGGCAATTTCAGGAGCACTGCATAAACTTTATAGACATACATTGGATGGCTGCTATTTTAAGGTCTAAAGATTGTTTTTCTATCTGTTATATACAAAAGTTAAGGATGAATGGATGTCAGACAAGTGGGTAAATAGCAGCAAGCAGAAAATGTCAAAATAGGTCACAGTAACATCAACTCAAGTTACTCAATGTTGAATATGGTAAGTTTGCTGAGGGTGTTCATGCACTTTCAAGGATGTAGATCAGATCCAAGGAAGAAAACCTTTACCGTGAGGGCACTGAGGCAATGGAACAGGTTGCCCAGAGAAGCCTGTGTACACTATCCTTGCAAGTATTCAAGGCTGGGTTTGTTGGGGCATAGAGCAACCAGCTGTACTGGAACATGATCCTGGAGGGGTTGGTACTAAATGATCTTCAAGGTCCTCTCCAACCCAAATCATTCTGTGAGTATGATTCCATGACTGAGGAACAGTTTCTCACTTCTAAAATTTCAGTATCAAACCCAGTAAAGAATCAAAATTGTGTCTAGGATCTTTCTTAGCATGCAGCAGGTACTTTATTTGTAAAAAAAACTTCATTCAACTTAGTCCCATATATTCCTCTTACAGCTTCTTAGATTTTGTCTGGGACATCCAGACACCCCCTCCAGTCTTAGACTTCCTTAGAGACTCAGTAAATTCCTCAGCAAACAAAACAGCTGGAAAGAAGAAGATGGACCTACCTTTTATTTCAAAATGTCTTTACCTCGTTTATCTTTGTATTATAGTCTTCAGATTCAGAGAAGATGGAAAGACTTTATTTTAAAAGGCTGTATAACTATAAATAGGGCTGTCTCCCTTGCTGCTTGTGTTTTGGGGAACCATCTTAGCATCGGAAGTGTTGCAAAATTAATGTTCATCACTTCCTTCCTGATTCATAGCAAATGTTGTAATTGCCCAACTTGGGACTTCTTATAACATGAACAAGAAGTTAGCTGGTTAAATTTCCCCTTTTGTAGTATGAGAGTATGCTGGTGTTTGGGAATACAGAAAGTGCATAAAAAGATTTACTTTTACAGGTATTTCTCTCTAACTCTAAACTGTACTGAGAAGTACAAAGCATCTCTCCATAAAATCCATCTGGGGGGATTCTCCATGGAGGGCATCAGGGAGTCCCAGCCAAACCCAACGCCAGCCCAGATCAGGGCAGCTGTGGACCCAGGGCAGCCCCATCCTGGACCACCAGGCACCTCCCTGGGGCCTGGGATGGCTCATGGGCCTGAGGGTGAGCCCAGCTTGGCAGGGCAGGGCTGTGGGAACCCAGAGACTGTCCCTGCTGTGTTATCACTGGGCAGGGGCTGATGGATCCAGGGGGCTGACGTGGGGTCCTGGGCTCTGGGCAGGGTGAGGGAAGCTCTGGGGACTGGGCAGGGATAGCCAGGTTTGTGGGGGTTCCCAGGGAAATGACAATGTAAACTGTTAAGTGTTTGAGCAGAAGGAAAAAGGGGATTTCAAATCTTGGATATTATGTCTACAAATAAGATATAACATTACTAAAAAGTGTGGTGTGGGTTTGTCCTCAATTCATTTCTTCCAATGTGAAAATAGCCAAACTACAAACCACCACTAAAACATAAAAAAAAAATAAAAATGTGGGTTGTAAGCATCCAACCACAAATAGTCACTCCAGGCTCTGTTGCTGAGCAATTGTTACCTTCTTGGGTCACAGCTGTGCATTACCTAAAGAGGAGGGTCATTATAAACAGAACAAAACATCAAGAGCTCCTTTACACCCTGAAAGGCTTTGTTTCACAGAGGACAGTGTAACTTGCTTAATACTGAGATTTAAAATCCATGTAAAGTAATTTCATTTCTTCACATTGAAATTGAAGCATCATTAGAAAATATGAAATCTTTCAAACACCAGGATATATCAACATTTTCTTCTTAAAAACACACAGATCCTTCCTGCTTGGAGTTAGAAACTTGTAGGAAAGATAATGGTCCATGCACTTCTCTAACACTCCTATTTCTTGGCTACTATATATGGAAAAATTCACCTGTTGCCTAACAGTCTCCCAGGATGCTCCAGGAACTGTCTTTATTGAAATCCTGATGCCATTCCAATCCTATAGCTCCTTTTTGGACATATGGAATGAATTAACAATATGAGCAGTAGTTCTTATATATCAGCTATTAATACATAATTAGGATACAGTTATGTCCTAGAGAGGAAGCTGAAGGTAGCACAGTGCTGTCTTTCCTTGGAGACAAAGAGGGCTTACCTTCTGGAGACCCAGAAATGCCTGGGCTCATGAGTATTTCTGCTTCCTGGGTCTGGCTGTAGTGGGACTGGTGACTGATGAGCTAGAAGCAGTCAGTCATTTTCTGGGTTCATTATCTCATGTTGATTGTAAATATTAGTTATATTGAGTTGTTGCTGGGGCCAACCAACACCACAAAGTGCAAGTCTGATGTGCTTCCTTCTCCTCAGCGCATGTAGCATAAAAAGTGAACAGGTGAAGTGAAGCAAGTCTACTCATCATATTCGAAACTGTTTCTCAAAATTACTCTCAACCACAAAATAAAAAAAAAAACAAAACAAAAACAAACCTATCTCACTTCTGCTCACATGTGGTACTAAAAGCATAGAGCAAGGCATGAAAAAAGAACCAATGAATTAAGAGGCACTCTGTGGTTGTGCTCTTGCATTTAATCTCATCTGTTTATAACTTGGGGTTACAGTGTTAACTGAGGAGATGAACAACTCACTTTAAGCATCTGGAACTTCAAAAACTCCAGTCATCCATAGAATCAAGAACCATGAGAGAATCAACAGGTCTTTTGTGCCTGGTCTTTTGTGGTTTCAGAGGTAAAGATCTAAGGCAATGTTGGCTCTATAAGGACCAATTCATGGATGTTCACTCTTTTCATATGCTAGTAGAGAATAAAAGTAAAAGTATGTCAAGTTTTTCTGAAGCATATCTGTGAGAAAAAGGGTGGGAATAACAAGCACATATGTATAGGTGTATATTCTACCTTAAAAGCAGATTTAGTCAAATGAGCATCTCATTTTGGTAAGAATCACTATGACTACCACATTATAGATGCCAACAGACAAAGCAAATGAAAGCTTGGACATCAGGTCTGAGCCCATGATACTTATTCAGAGGTAAAAGCAGTCCATTCTCAGAAGTTTCACTGTAATTCCAGGTTAAATGAATTCCATGCATAACTGTGTACATAATTTTTTGAACACTGTCTGTGTTGTAAAGACATAAGAAAGGACTTCTGATCACAAAGAGTGTAAAACCCCACAGTTTATTGTGTCCTCATCTTCGGAAGAAAACAATTTTGTGGTGGTAACATACTGAGTTTCATGGAGAAGGGTAGTGAAAAGTACCCAAGTGATAAAATCAGAGCCATAAGAAGTGTCATGGAGAGTCAAATGGGACTCTGGAAAATTAAGGAAGTCAGAATTTTCATTTGCCAGCTTTTCCATGCTCCCACTCTGAAGATGTCTTGAGCCTGCAGAGAAAGCAGCAGGGAAGCAGGGTGTTTCTATGTGGTCTCTCACATTATATATCTCTGAAACAGTGAGGAAGTTTGAGGTTTTGGGATTTGGCTGCTTTGTTTTTCAGCTGGAATCGATACAGCAGAACAATCCAAACAGCCCAGAAGAACAGTAGTGTTTTTGCAGGAAAGGGAGCTGTTCTACCCAGCTTTTCTTGTCTATATTTAGGACAACTTCTTACCTAACTTCTTAACTTCTTACCTAAGCCTTTCAAAAATGCAAACAAATGAAACACATTTTAAAAATTCCCATGTAAGGAGGGTGCTACTGAGGATGCTACCAAAATCTGACATTTTTCAGAGACCAGAAAACTTGAGTTGCCTTGCTATTCCCCGGGAGCTGGAAGCAAAATGAGAAACGAGAAAGGGAAAGAAAGAGAAACTGAAAGAGAAAAAAGAGTAAAGGAGAGAAGAGAAACCTGGGGAGAGACACTAGGGCTGTTTATGGACTTTTGGCTCTACAGGGAGTGAAGTTGCTACAGAAACAGTATCAAACCAACATTTCTTAAAAATCACAAACCTGGAAGAATAATTTATTGCTCCAACAAAAATAGGAGTGTTCACAAGAACTGGCTGGTGTTTTGCTGTACTGATGTGTTGCAGCTTTTGTGTATGTCACAAAAATACAAACAAGAACCCTAATTGTTTCCTTGCAGCAAGAACTTTCTAGTCTTTAGCCTAGAACAGAGGAATAGCCATAGGAGACCAGAATAAAGGACTTCTTCCTGCTGGAGCATCCAAGGTATTTAGTTAATAGATTCTAAAGGCTGACCATCCTTTCCTACTGATTTTCGGGGTCTTTGCCCAGGGATGGGGAAGTGATACCTTAGTACCACACCTATTACCACCTCCATTGTTTCATGGATATGATTTATGGTTTTCTCATTAGTGTGCTGATAGTGAACAAGTGTTCTTAATGATTTTTCTGTCTCAGCAGCTTTCACAGTGAAAGCAGTGGGGATGTATGGGGTGCACCAATGACCATGATCAGCTCTGTGCCAAGCAGGATGGAGAGGATCCAGTAGACCTTTCCTACTTAATGCAGGTGCTTTTATCTTTTGGCAATTATAACTTAAGTAGGAGGGTCCTTCTCTGGTTCTGTTTTAAAAAGAAAATAAAAATAAGGTTTTATTGAAAGCTCATTTAGAAACACAGAATCACAGTAAAATTTAGTTCCAACATTGATCTCTTGACAGTAACCTGGTCTAGTGGAATTTTATCACTGAGAGGACTTTATTTTCCGTAATAGGATTTTATGAGGTAATTTTAACCATCTTGAGACTTGATGGAATTATAGAATCATAGCCTGAGTTGGAAATGACCCTCAAGGGTCATTGAGTTCAACTCTTAGACCTCCTCAGGACACCCCCAAGAGTCACACCATGTGTCTGACAGGGTGCATTGTCCAAATGCTGCTCGAACTCTGTCAGGCTGGTGATGAGACCCTTTCCCTGGGGAGCTGTTCCAGTGCCCAACCACCCTCTTAACCACCACATTCTCTTAATACCCGACATAAGCCTCTCTTGACACAGCTTCAGGCCATTCCCTTGGGTCCTGTCACTGGTCACCAAAGAATGACCAGTGCCTGCCTTTCTGCTTTCCCTCTCGAGGAAGTTTTTGACTGCAATGAGGTCTCTCCTCAGTCTCCTCCAGGCTGAACGGACCAAATGACTTCAGCTGTTTCTCATACAGCTTCTCCTTAAGGCCCTCCACCATCTTTGTAGCCATCCCTTCTTTGGACTCTCTCGAATGGCTTTATATCTTATGTTGTGGCAACCAAAGCTTCACACTGGACTTGAGGTGAGGCTGCTCCAGAGCAGAGCAGGACAATCTCCTCCTTTGTCCAGCTGGCCATGCTGTGTCTGATGTAGCCCAGGACAAGGTTGGCCCTCCTGGCTGCCAGGGTGGGACTGACTCATATTGAATTTCATGGAACTGGAAGGTCGGAATATGTGATTAGCTCCGAAATTGAGGGTTTTCTCTCATATCTCCTTATTAATTGGAGGATTCAGGCTGTTATGCTTCTGTTTCATCCAGATGTTATAAGAGCACACAACTAGCTTGTAACTTTTGCAATTAGCAAGTGGCAGACTTCTGCTGGAGAATTCAAAAGTTCAATTTCCAACATTTCCCACTCAATAGATATACATGTGTACATCTGCTACCTGTTAGCAATCATGTATTAATTCATTCTTTCATCTAACACAGAAGGAAGGGATGAAAAATGGGAGGCAACAAATAGAGTTATGGGAAAACTGTATCCTGAACTCTTTAATAGTACTCACTTTTTGTGAGCAAGTGATCTTTCTTAATAGGCTTGGCTGACCTTCACACAGTGGACATTCATACAGATGTCAAATTTTATTTGTGATCACAATTTCAGAATGGCTGTACATTTTTCAAGACACTAAACCAATGGAGATCCTGAATAAACCCCTTAAGCTTGGTTGTTCTTACTTATTGTTTTGCATGGTGTTGAAAAACAGTATAACTTCCAAAGCAATACTGATTTTTTTTTTTTTTATGAAATACTGTGATGTTCATCACAATAAAAAACAGAAATATTCAAAACTTAACTGTTCATAGAAAATGCAACCAAATACATGGAGGCTTTTAGAGATAAGATCTTGGGGAATTGACTCTACAGTCAGTGCTCTTCTCCCTGCTTCCAGAAGTGAGAGGATATGAAAAACTTCTTAATTTTTGCCAACAAGGTGTATATGCTTGAAAAAAACCAAGTTTCTCATTTCACTTGCATTCCATCACTTCTTCAATATCTATTATTTCTTCAGTTTCTTGTTTTTTTAATAGATTCATATATTCTGTCTAGTAAAGGAAGAATATAACATTTTGTTAGTGTTTCATGCATGAGATTAGTCACAAGGTCATGACTTATCAATCTCCTGTCATTCAAATTTGTTATTTATGGTATAAAACCTGTAGCAGGACTCTGACAATTAGAAGACCAAAGTAGACATGACTAGATCTTCCCTCCATATAGCTTCCAAAGAACAGAGACTTTTCAACTAAAAAGCTGGAAAAATCATCTTTTAAAGCATAGAAAAGTTAACATGATGAAGGAAGAAAAATGAAAAGGATTTATGAAGGCTCACCAGTAATTCAGTGTGTTCCTGCAGACAAATTTTGTCTTCCAGACCTGCCTGTAGCCAACCTAAAGACTTTGCAAATTGCAGCAAACATGCTCTCTAGAAGGGCAGTTCCTTCAGTGTTTGTCTGTTTGTTCCTTCTCATGAGTCATTCCAGCATTCCACAAAATTTAGCACCTCTAATTCCATTCTGCTCTGTTTTCTTGCTTACCATACCCTAGAAACTTCTGTCTCCTTCAGCATCATTACCAAATACTAACATGGCAAAACTACTGAAGATCCCTTCTCTCCCTATCTGATTCTGCATTGTTATTGTGCTGAGAAACTTATGCTCAGCATTATTTTAGTGACAGCATATGGTTTATAGGGAGAGCAAGGTGAAACTGTATTTTGTCCAATGCCCCAGGTAGACAGATGACAATTATTTCATAATGGAAAAGGTAAAACAAGTAATTTGCAGATGGACTTTGTCCATATTCCAAGAACAAGAAAGAAAATTGATTCTTGCTTGCATGCATCTTTCTGACAGTTAGGTCATAGATTTGAGACTAAATTTTTAAATTTAGGGCACAAAATTTAGAGTATGAAGCATACCTGGAAGGCCACTGGAGAGGGCTCATGGAATGGGTCTCTTGGCCGTGGTACTGAAGCGGATGTTTTTTTCAAATAAGCTCTTCTACAGTGACAAAAAGGTTTGGTGAAAAAAAAACTTAGTTTGCAAATGCATGAACACATTCTATATAATAATGCTCCTGAGGTACAATTTTATTCCTCTGAGACATAAGTAGTGCTCTTCTAATTCCAAAGGAGCTAAAAATTACATAGGCTGAATACAATGTTATAATTTTGTTGTCCAGAATTTGGACGACAATAATTTATTTTATGACTTACTAAGACTTCATAGGAAGTTGCTTTTTTGAGTATGTGGAAAGGAAATGTCAAAACATGGAAAAAATTTCATGTAGCACACACCTGCATTACAGGGTCTGATGGTAGGAAAGAGGTGCTGATATAAGGCCTTGTACCAGTATTGGAAAGCATTGTGTTATATTAATCACTTGATTAATATAATCAAGTGATTATATTAATATGATATATATCAAGGATAAGAAAGTTGGGAATCAGAAGTATACAAAGCACACTTGAGGAACATCCAGCAGATTATTCCTAATGTAGCTCAGTGTCAATTTTCTCCCTCCCTTTTCTCCTTTTAAAAAGAAGCCAGAAATTTTCTGTTGGGGAAAAAAAGTGTTATTTCAACTATAGAATAAAAATTTTGCACAAGAAATAAGGCTTACACTGTCATGCAGATGAAAAATGCGAGACCTGCTGCCAGCCCTGGTATCAGAAATAGCATATATGATGAAGTAGGTGTAAGTTGTTGTGTTCCTGAAAATCAAGCAATCATCAAAGTGTTGGTTGGCATCACAGGACATGAATGATAGCGCAGCTATGTGCAACCTGTTTTGCATCAGGGTGTCAAGCACTGTATGAAAGGATGACTTCTTTAGCTCAGCACTTCACTGCCCTGCAGCATGCAAAGGAATAGAATGGCTGAACAGTTTGTGGACTGTCCGCAAGAACGTGATACCTGAGGACCTGAGTCCTGCAGAGTATTTAAATATCTGAGGTGGCAGAGAGCAACAGCAGGAAAAAGGAGTTTATAAAGCCAGGATCAAGGATTGGAGAAGTAAACAGCTGGCAACAGAGCTCAAAAAGGTCTGCTTCGTTCACTCTCCCTGTGCAAGAAGAACTGTCTCCCAAGAATGACTGGAGAACTCCCTAAGATTAAGAGATACGGCAATTCTTCAACTCTCTTTGTCCTAACAAATTAAGGTTCAATTATCAATGTGTTTACATCTGTAAGCATGAAGCAAAAAATGAGGCAGACAGGTAATAACTGCACAAAGGGATTATAAAGGGATTTTGATTCTTACCAAATTCCACAGGCATACTCCACTCTCCCCAGTTTGGGCTTACCAAACAAAAGCCTGCGTCTGTTGCTCTGATTCTGATGCTGTACCTTTTACCTGAGCTGAAGCTTTCATAGAGGTAGGAATTATTTTCAACTATTTCTTCCTAAATGCAAAATAAGTAGAATGAGAATTTTGGTATTATTTTTATATAATTATGATAAAATTGTATATTTTGTATTTATATAATGTTTCTGTGGCCAGACTAGAGTGAAATAGTAAGTAGTGAAATATCCCTTAGTATTGTTTCATCTTAGTTCCTCTTTTTTGAACATTTTTATCATTGGGTAATATGAAGATGAAATTTGCTGTATGCTTCCCTGGCTCCTTAGAATTTGCTAAGCAATGGGACTTTAGGGAAAAAATTCTCTAATGATCTGTTCATTACAGTGGATGTTTTCAAAACTGAAGTAGAGTTTGATAGCCAGATTATACAGAAGTAAAAAGTTGACCTTTTTTTTTTCCTGCCATCTTTATATTGGCTTAGTCTTTGAGGTAACATTTTCTTGCCTCTTACATCTCAATCCTTTCCAGATAGTATTAAAAAAGAAAAAAATTCTTCACATTTTTTGTGTTACACAGAATCATGATCCGTGTTTTTACATATATGTGAATCTGCTAGGAAGTAAAAAAGAATGTAAAATGGAAGATTATGTGAAGTAATATCAAATTCCACACGTGCTGGTGGTTTTGTACCAAGTTTTATAAACAACAGTTTTAAACTTCAGATTTAGGAAACTTATCAATTATGAGCATGTGTAGTACATTGAAACAGGTAGTGTGAAACCAAACCAATTTGGTTAATACAGAAGTAATTTCATACAGCATAAATGTATGATTAATACAGACTTACTCTTTTAGATGCAGTTTTGATTTTTTTCTCAACATCAGCCTAGCAACAAGAGAAAAGTTTAATTTTTAGGATTATTATTTTTGTTACTATATAATAAAGGGTCTTCTCTCATGAATGTTTGATTTTCATAAAGAAAAGGTTTATGTAATATTTAAAATGCCTTCTTTTAAAGATTGTGAAAATTTAAGCTCTTTTTCCACTGAGTGGTTTTGTTCTTCCCACTGATGCTCTGGAATATTGTACCATTTAAATTTTATTTCAGAACTGAATATCAAAGCACTAAATAACAAAAGAAAAAGGCTCAAGTTGACAACATGTTTACATTTTAATTGTTAAAAAAAAGTATCTAAAATTTACGAATAAACTTGGACAATGTTTTTTCCACTTTTTTTCTTTACTGTGTATATTTTGCATTCTTAAACATTAAATTTAACTAAGTCATGTCTCCTTTTTTTTTTAATATTTTTAATTTTTTACTGTTGGAACAAGAAGTTCACAAATATTCTGAGAAATATTTTCAACTTTACTTTTGAAGGGTGTAATATTACTTTCCATATTCATCCAAGATTTCCAAAGGAGAGGATGAGAACAGAGTGCTGGTTGTATGGCATTATGTGTGGAAATAGAGACAAAAAAACCACTCTTAAATGTCATAATTATTCTTACCTTGTTTTCTATGGCAATTTCATATTTGAAACAGCTGCTTTTTTTCACATGACTTGTGCGAGGTGGTTGCCACCAAATATTGCAACTATGAGAAGCTTCTGTACAGTTCACTGTGACATTTAATGGAGGGGTGAGTTTTTCTACAATAATATAATCAGAAATACTATTGATTAGTAACAGCTCTCTTCACTCTGCCATTTTAAAAATATGGGTAGATGTTCAAGCAACTGATCTATTACATTTTACTGAATTCAGCATATGATTTATGCAGGTTTGGTTTTATTTATTGGGTTTAAGGGTTTTTTTTTTAATACTGTATTCAAACTAAACAGAATTTTTTATTAGCATTCTTCCCTTAAAAAAAAGGAAGTTTTTGGTCGCAGCATTAAGGTAACTGGTTCTTTTCATTATGTGGAGGAACAGCATTATAAGATAATAAGATCAACATCTAGATAGTCCCACTCAGGAGTCCTTAGCTAGTTAATTCTAAAAGATGGCACCTTTCTCTCAGAGAATAAATATTTGACTGAAATGTTCAAAATTTTCTGACCTATAATTCCAGATTGTTTCTGTATTCATTAGTTTTTATCAATTTTTGTACTTTAGGACTGAGAAAAAGGAAAAAAAACCAAAAAACCCAAACCTGTTATAGGGAGCAGTATTTTTTAAATGTATGTTTTTTCCCAGGGATGAATTATTAATCCTTTTAACATATAACTGGAAATTAAATCAAAAAAATTGCTTACCAATTTGGTACAGCCATATATTCTTCCAATATGACTGAATGTTTTGTCTGCTTCTGGACCCATTTACCAGGAAATAAGCATATTTATTTTCTATTGTCACGTTTTGAAATCGACATCCTGTGTGCCTTCCAAAGTTATCTTTGATGTAATTTTGGCATTCTGTGACATCTTCATTCCTTTACATGAAATATTGTATTAAAAAAAAATGACAATGTCACATGTCCAACCACAAATCAAAATTCCCAATATTCAAGCGGACCTACTTACTTTGAGGGCCTCCAGTACAGGAAGTATTGGGTATCTTCTGTAGCAGTCCTGCCCACATGCCAGGTACAGTTCATGAAGGAAACATTAAAAATGACACAGACAAAATTTTCAATGGCTGTCCCATTCATGCCTGCAAACACAGAAAGATCCCATTTCCACTCTGCAGAAAGCCTGAATAACTGCTCTTTGCAAGGTCATTTAGCCATTTTTTAACTACCTGCTTGGCAAATCCAACTGTCTATTGTTTCAATCTTGTGCTTTTGTCCTTACTTGAAGTTGGCAGTGATTTTACTTGCGTTGAGCCATGAGGATTATCAGTCATTGTTCCAGAAGCCATAGATGTGACTGGGTTTTAACTGAGAATTTAATCAACTCAAGCACAGGGACTTAGTGAAAGTTAATAACAGAGACAGTCACCGTGGTGTCCTCTGTTTAGATCTCCTGTTTAGCTGAGGCCCAGTCTACAGTGGAATGTAAATTCCACAGCCATGAGCAGGATGGCAAAATTCTTTCTGCTGTGCTTAAGTGCTCTGAATCGTGGTTATAAAGACCTAATAATTTAAATGAGATGTCCACCACTTTCTTCAGTGTGACAACTGGCTGGTTACAATCTAACCCTGACACTGCTTAGCCTCCAGCAGCTAATCCCTGCAGAAGTGATACAGTTTCAAAAAACAGGCCTGAATATCCATATAATTAGTGTAAAAAACAGGACAAAGCTTAAGCAGAAGTTTATGGCTTGCTTAAGTTAACTCATAGCCTGTGCTCTCAACCTGAATGAATTCCTTGTGTGTTCCTCCCCTACCAAAAGGTAAGATCTCCAACAGGAAATAATAACATTCAGTACCTCAACAGCTGTCATTGTGAATTGAAGGAGTGGGCCACAGCTCTCCAAGACCAATCCAACCCTTATTCATTGAGTTTAAGAGTTTAAGCACCACACACACAAGCTTTGCATTTACCTCTCTAGTTAGCCTTAAATCTCCAAATCTGATTCTTTCATCTTTGGAAAAAAAAAAGAGGAATTTTTAAAGAGAAAGTTGTCAGAGTGCTCCTGGATTTCTAGAAATATTTTTCTCTTCTAGAAGGAAGGTTGAAACTTTTTCAAGTGCTTGGTTCAGCAGCATTTCTTTCAATGGCAGTGTTAGCCTAAGCATGCTCTGTCTTTCCCATCCTGCCTGATTCCATCCTGCCCCCTTGTAGGGCCCTGTAGTGAGTAGTTTTGAACAAGTGACCATCTTTACAACTAATGCTCCTCTCAGTAGTGTTTTGTTTTGATTTGTTTTGTTTTTTGTTTGTGGGTTTGGTTTTTTTTCTTTTTGGTTGTTTATTTTTTTTCATCCTCTATCAGAAGTAGTAGAACAAGCTCATCTGAGATGACAGTGTGGGCTAGCAACTAAGAAAAGAGTTGCCTAAACTATTTCTGTAGCTGTAATAAACACTGACCCATACTTGGTCACTAGAGGTATCAAAGCTCTCAGCATAGGGTTGTTTACACCCAATTTATGTGTAAGTTTATATATACTTAACAAACTATTTTTAAGAGTTCAGTGATTGCAGTACTGTGATGAGGTGATGGTGAGTTTGGACCAGATCTCTGGTCTGCCACAGATTCACTTTATGGCCCAGGGCCAGCCCAGTCTGTGCACTTCACTTCCTCATTTACAAAACAAACAGAGAAATTGTCTTCCCATGAAGAAATTGCTGGGTAAATGCAGCAGTCTGAAGTATGATCACAGGTGCTGTGCAAGGGTCTTAGAGAGATGAGCTTCTTCAAGCCTTTAGCAATGCTGTAAATCTAAAGATAAAAAGGGTTATTCTGATTTTAAATCAGTTCACAACCTGGTTCCTGTGTGGGCTAACAAGCAGTTGAAGTGTTCAACAGCAAAGGAAATATTCAGGCATATGCTGTGAATATGAGTCTCTCTATACCTGTTGCTAACTGGACCATTTTCCCAAGGTTTTAGGGAATTTATTTTTGATTTTTTATTTATTCATATTTCTGTGGTTATGCCAAAGAAAACGTAGCAAAATATATAAATACCACTACCCTTTCTGTAAGGATTATTTTTGAGCATACTCTATTAATCCAACACTGTCAGTGTTACCTTTTTATTTTTAGCAATACCTGGAATAGATCTAAGTATTCATGACACTTTCATCTCACATTATTTCAAAGAGATACTGAGATTTTTCTGCCTCCAGTTTATACTAAGGACTAGCTGAGTTTTCCTAGTGTCTTTTTGCTTAACCACTCCTATTTGAAATGTCCCATATTTGTCACTTACATATGTGTATTTCTTTAAAAAATGGTAGGACCATATGCTTATCAGTCTTTTCTGTGAGTTCTAATGCAAAAAAAGTTTAGTTTCTCTGTATAGTACTCATCCTTCTGAACTGCCTCCTGTATTATTTGATGATTGATAGTAAAATACATATGCAAGTATGTTAATATCCTCTGAAGCATCCTTTTTTTCAGAAAAAAATAACATATTTTACTATCTTTAGATATATTTAAAATCTTTCACATCCTTTTCATAAAAAAGGTAAGATACTTAACTGAGATGTGACAATGATTGCACACAACTGCATAAAATCCACTATTTCAAGTACACAGAGTGCTTTAATTTATTTTTTTTTTGTTTGCTTGTTTATTTATGTCTATTTTGTCAACTTAGATGATCTCCATCTCTTGGGCAGACATCAGAAACAATGTAGGCACCTTAGCTTCAGAAAAACATCAGAGAGAAGAAAATGTGACTCTGCAATCACTTGTGGTTAGCGACATTACTAGCAGGGAAGAACAGGATCTCACCTTTGGGTCTTGAGCCCAACAGAATTTTTTACTTTTATTCACTGATTCTTCAATTAAAAAAATGCATAAACTGTTGACTCTTAGACATAATTGATCAGATGCTTTATAAAAGATGTTAAATAACATACTTGATACTGGAAATTAAAAAAACCAGACAAACAAAAAAAAATAATTCAATTACTTTAACCTTTCAACCTAACTCTGAAGATGCTGTTAGGTGTGAGGTGGAGTTTGTCTCACCCATACTGAAAAGCTGTATAGATGCTCATAGGGGAACCAGTAATTCTATACTGCCTTAACACTATCTGGAAAAAAACAGCTACTTTAGACACAGTTTATTCAATCTAGTCTAGTACAAGATGAATGAAAGCTTCACTATATTTAATTTTTTGTCATTCACCAAACAAATAGCCCAGAGGAATCTCTCTAATTCTGAGCTATCCACCTTTGTCAGCTAAATCCAAGAGGACTTGTTCCTTTCCTTTCTTTCACCATCTGGAATTCATACGTAATTACTAAACAAAAAATACTGCCACTATTATTTTCTTCATTGAAAAGTTATAATTGAAAATGTCTTTTTCTCTTCATTCTTATACCTGTGCAAGTATCATGTGCTGCTTCTCTTTGGAAAAACAGTTGCAGTAGAAGAACGGTATTGTTTTTCCCAGAGATGTTTCAAACTTCCTTTTACATCTCAAATAGTTCCTGTGCAGATTATTGATGAAAATCTTTAGGAAAATGAAAGTATTTCTGTGTGAAGTTTTTTCCTTCTTGTCAAGTTGTTTATAAAGTTTCTATGAAAATGGGCTGCTGCTAGAATCTGTGCTACAGCACAAGTTATTTCTCAGAGATGCCTGAACCCTAACACCCTTCCAGAGGGGTAGTTATGAGTTCAGAAGCTGAAATGCTACTGCTGTGTCTAATCTCATCTAGGCTGACTGGAGAGGTGTTTAGATGAGAATAAAAACTGCCTAAAAAGCCCCCCAAAACTTATACTTTGTTTTTAATAGGACTATTTTCTGTTAAGGGGAAGTCTGTGTTGAGTACAGTACATTACACTAGACCTCTGAGGTTCATTTCCCAGCTGTGACTCTGAAAGAGTTTGAAAGATATTTTTGTCAGCTGGAAAATATGAAATGAAAATATGAAAATATGCTTCCATGTAGGATGTGCTATGAAGGTAAAATTATGCCTGTATTCCTGAAGCATTTTCAGGGAATTGTGTATACGAAATCTTCTAAAGTATTAAAATCATGAAAGAGAAAGGATGCTGACATACTTCCATTCTACTGGTGTCTAAATGCAGTAGTCCTAAAAGAGTTCACTCCATTTAGTGATTTTACTCTATGGATGGAAAGACCTAAAATCCAAACGTTTCCAATTTGATTGTGTTTTCAAGAGAAAGTGACACAGGCTCTCCAATTCAGTAATTCAGGTTTAGCCTAACAAAATACTGCTATGTGGATGAGGCCAGTAACACTGGAAACACTGCAAACTTTAAAATATAAACACAATTATTTTAATATTTTATAAAAAGTATGCCATCAAAATACTGGTTAAGACATTCATCAGAGTGAAGCAGGCACTTGCTATCAGGTAGTGTCTATCCATCCATCACGGTTATTTTAACATTAAAACTAGCAGAAATGACAAAACTCAGTATTTCCTTGCCTAGCTCCTTTGGAGTTAAGTAACAGAGAAACAGAAAAAAAAATAGAAAAGAAAAACCAACAAAATTAAACCTACCTCCTCCTTGAAGACCTGTTTCCCTTTGGTTCTTAGAGTAATGGAGAACAAAAAGGATAGAAACTATGACTTTGCCTTGGTTTTTGCATGCTTTGACAATGTGATTTCATTGCCTCATTTCCCTTATCCTCACTTCCGTTAAACCATGGGGAGAAGCAGGGTCACTCCCTGCCTTGGGAGACAAATAGGTCACAACAGAGTGGCACCCTCTTCATTTCTTGATTCACATAATTTTCAGTCATTTCTGTCACACATTTTTCATACAGAAGTTTGTACAGGGCACCACCTGAAAGGTAGATGAACCCAGGTTTTCCTTCTGGCTCAGGTGTAGGTCAGGTATCATTGCCTCAAGCCACGCCACTGTTTTCTGCTTATTGCTTAGGGATGCTGCCCTGTACAGGAGCATCAGCCCCCTGCTATCAGCCCCCTGCTCTGGCCTGCAGAAGAGCTGCTCCCAGCTTTGCACTAGCCAGCCTCATTCCCCATAGGTGGGTAAAAAATCATGTCACCAGTCTCAACAACCTTTCTGCTTTGTGTACACGTGTTTCTGGGGTGGGTGAATTCAAAGCACAGATCAGGGAAAGCTTCTGTATGTATGAAATGTCCTGAGTGTACCAAATTAGCAGTATGTCACTTGTCTGTGCTGGTGTCCTGGAACTGAGAAGCACAGAACCTGCTTTTTCATGTAGTCC